GATTTCTCACTTTCTGTCTCTCTGTCTCTCTCTGTCTTTCTGGCGAGTGCAGGAGCCCTATAGCTTAAAAAAAAAAAAAGTTTTCCCCACCTCTAGTCCAAGCTGTGGGAGGACCCTTGCCTGACTTCAGGGCGCATCCAATAAGCACACTGTACTCCCCTGGGGCTGATTGGCTCAGGGGTGGCCACGTGCCCTACAAGCCAGGAAGAGAACCCTCACCACTGAAGGAGTTGGTTGGCACCTTGATCTTGGACTTCTAGCCTCTAGAACTGTGAGAAGTGAATTTGTGCTATTTAAGCTACCTGGTCTATGGTACTTTGTATGGCAACTCTAGCAGACTCACACAACATAAAAATTATAGTTACTCAATAGATGACATTAACTCTAGATTTACATGATCAAAAAGAAAATTAGTGATTTGGAAGCTATTTCTGAGGAATAACACACAATAGTAAACAGATTCTGAACAATGAAAAGTAAGAAACAGCATATCGGTGAAATGAAAAATGGAACGACTCTCATATACTTAGCAGGAATCCCAACAGGAGAGAATGAAAATAGTGAAGAAATGAAAACTTCAGAAATTACAGGGAACCAGCAGTTAGCGTAATGGCTATGTTGCTGGATTCCCACGTAGTTGACCGCGGTTCGTGTCCCGGACCCGGTGTCTTAGAACTCATGCTGGGCGTGTGTACATGCATGCCCAAGATCCTGAGAGGAGAATGGAGGAGAAGAGATTGTGGCATGACCATCCCCCCTGGGGGGTGATTTCTCGCTTTCTGTCTCTATGTCTCTCTCTGTCTGTCTGGGCGAGCGCACGTACCCTATAGCGAAAACCTCTGAAAAGAAAAAAAAAAAAGAAATTACAGATGAAATATGCAGACCTAAGCAGTAGTATAGCAATGAGTGTTCTTAGAAAAGCAGAATAAGGCCAGCCAGAGGCAGCTGGATCCCTCAGGACTGACTTTGCAGTTCAAGTCTCAGACCTAATGGCTTCAAGAACACATTGGGTGCATGTGCGTGCATGCCCAAAATCTGAAAGGAGAAATGGGGAAGAAATCCAGTATGCCATTCCCCATGAGAGGTGGTGAGAGGTGGTGTTTTCTCACTTTTCCTCCCTCTCTGTGTCTCTCTCGGTGAGTGCACATGCCCTCTAGCAAAAAAATTTTTAAAAAAGGTTTTTCACTGTGCAGTTTTCTTTATATTCTAGCTTTTAATCTAATAGTTAATTTTTTTAATTTTAGGTTTTTATCATAGGGCATGTTCACTCACTGGAAAGAGAGGAAGAGAGAAGGAAAATGAGAAATCACCCCCTAGGGGGCATGGCCATACCGCAGTCTCCTCTCTTCCACTCACTTCCTGGGATTTGGGGCACACACATACATGTGCACAGTGTGGTTTTCAAGCTGCCTGGTCTAGACACAAACCGTAGTCAGCCATGTGGGAGTCCAGCACATTAACCACCACCTGCTGGCCCCTCGACAAGTTAACTTTTAAAACGGGCATGTAGCTTTAATGCAGTTTATTTATTTATTTTATTTTAAATTTATTTATTTATTTATTTATTTATAATAAATTTATTTATTTACATTGATTTGTATCATTACAGTATACAAAAAGAGATTTCCCATCCAGAATACACTGTACATTGGCTCAATCAGGATATTATGCATTATCATCAATAAATAATTTTCCATTTCTTGTTTCTTATATATTTACTTCTTTCCCCTCCCCCCCTTGATTCCTACCTCTCACCCTCTGCCATTTCCCACCCTTCTCCCTCACCGTCTCTGGTATCTATGTTTGCCTTCCTTGCATTTTATTGATTCACAAAAGAGCTTAATTAATCTAAATACTTCCAGTAGCAAGTGCAGCTGATATATACATATCTATGAACCCATGTCTGACTTTAGGCATAAACCTCAGTGAGTAGAATGAACATATTATAAAGTAGCACCTAGCTGGGGCTATATCATTTACTGTAGTCATTAAACAAGTATTTCTATGCATTTTTTCATTTAAAGAAAAACAGTTTTAATAGATCAAAACTTTAAAAATGTTAAGAGAAGTTTGCTGATGGCTTAAAGCCAGGACAGATTACGATTCCATTCAAACAGTAGGTAGACGAACCTATCAATAGCTCAAGAGAAGACAAAAATCCTTAAACCTGGAAAATAATGCATAGAAGAAAATCAGGAATGTTTTAGTCAAAAGTCATAAAATTCTTTTTCATCAGTTCAGTCTCATGTAATGAATCTCCTGTTGAATTTGCAGTGTCACCGTTTAAATTCTGGAAGTTGGCATTCAACATTATTATTGATCTTTCTGCAGTTGTCCCTACCATTAAGTTGGCCTTTTTCTTTGTCATTTCTTGTTCTCTTATTGCTGTCTGTCTTTAGTTTTCCTGGTATAGCACTCCCTTCAGCACTTCTTGGAGAGCTGGCCTGGTGTTGGTAAATTCTTCCAGGTTTTGTTTATCTGAGAATGTTTTTGTCTTTTCTTCTCATATGAAGGATATTTGGCCAGGTATAGTATTCTTGATTGAAATTGTTTTTCACGTAACACTTTGAATGTATTTTCCCGTTCTTTCCTTGTTTGCAATGTTTCCGGTGAGAGGTCCGATGTTAGCCTGATGGAATATCCTTTGAAAGTAACTTGACTTTTCTCTCTTGCCAAGTTTAGTATCTTGTCTCTGTCTGTGGTTTTGGTCAATCTGGCTATGATGTACCTTGGGGAAGATCTTCTTGGGTTGATCCTATGTGGGGTCCTTTGTATTCTTAGGTCTGGACATTTGAATGCCTCTCTAGGTTTAGAAAGTTTTCGTCCAGGATTTCATGGAGTAGATTATCTACGCCCTTACTAGTTTCTACACCTTCTGGGATACCGATGATCTGGATGTTTGGGTGTTTAATGGTATCTATCTAGTATTACTTGCATATTATTCTCATTTTGGGGAATTATTTTCTCAGTATTTTTGGTGAATTTTTCTAGGTCAGAAGTTCTGCTTTCTGCATCTGAGATTTGATCTTCTGCATGATCTAACCTGCTTTTAATACTTTCAAGGGAGGTTTTGATTTCCTGTATTACAGCCTTCATCTCTAATAATTCCATTTGATTTTCTTTTTATGGTGTGTATTTCCTCTTTCAGATCATGTAAGAACTTCCTTACCTGGAATTTGTTGTCTTTTGTCTCTTGTATCTTCTGGAGTTCTTTGTCTCTCTTGTCTTGCATCTTTGTTAGCTTTGTCACTATGAATATTCTAAATTCTTTCTCTCACATTGCCATGAGTTCTATTATATTGTCAGTGCAGGATGAGGAATTATTCTCTTCCCTTGGAGGAGAGGTATGTTCTTGGCTCCTCATATTTCTTGTGCCTCTGTGGTGGTTTCTGGTCATCTGATGATGGATTATACATTTTTTCCTTATTTCTGGAGTTAAATCTAAGTGTTGAGAAGTATGCAGGAGGAAGTGATCTGTAATCTCTCTGCAGTTCTGCGGGAATTGAGGATTACTCTGACCCTATCGATCTTGAGGTCAGGTGAGTGAATCTGGGCAGAAAATCTTTGGGACCAGCAGTTAGCGTAATGGCTATGTCGCTGGACTCCCATGTAGTCGACCACGGATTGCGTCCCGGACCGGGTGGTTTAAAACTCACGCCGGGCGTGTGCGTGCGTGCCCAAGATCCCGAGAGGAGAATGGAGAAGGGATTGCACTGTGGCCATCCCCCCTGGGGGGTGATTTCTCACTTTCTGTCTGTCTCTCTCTGTCTGTCTGGCGAGCACACGTGCCCTATAGCGAAAACCTCTCAAAATAAAAAAGAAAGAAAGAAAAAGAAAATCTTCAGTTGTCCTAGTCCCTGAAAGGAGCCACTCCGAGCTCATATGTAATTGGCTTGTAATTGGCCTGTCTAGATCTTGGGGTCTGGAGGGTGAAGTCTGGGCAGAAAATCTTCAGTTGTCCTTTAATGCAGTTTTATTTCTGTCAGTGTGAAAGAACTTCCCTGGGGTCCAGCAGGTGGTACAGTAGGTAAGGCACTGGACTCCTACATGGCTGAATGCTCTTCAAGTCCTGGACCTGGAGGCTTGCTTTTTCAGTTTCCCTTTTCCTCTCTCTCTCTCTCTCTCTCTCTGGTGAATTAAGATAATTAATAAGTAAAATTAGAATAAATAATGCTAAAAAGGAAAGCCTGCCCTGTAACAGTTGACAAAGACCAGAACTCCATGTGCATGTGTCATAAAAACACATCCGACATCCACAGGGTGGCTTGCTGTGCATTTGAAGATGGTATGCTTGGCCAACCATGGTCCTAATCCCAGACCTACCCGCTTGAAAACCATGCTGGGTGTATGTCTGTACATGCCCCAAATCCCAAAAGAATGGAGGAGAAGGAATTGTGGTGTGGTCATCCTCCCTGGGAGGGGGGCAATTTCTCACCTTCCCACTGCCTGTGTCTCTGGTGAGCACACGTGCCCTATAGCAAAAACCTTAAAAAAAAAAAAAAAGATGGTATGCTTGATCTTTGTGAGTCTTAACCCTAAACATTTGTTTTGCCCAATTTAACAAAAGCAGCAGTTTAGTTTGTCATCAGGCTCATATGCTGACTGCCACCCTGTCTCCTTAGGCTACTCAAGTGTTTCTGGTGGCAAATACAGCATGCAGACTGACCGCCTAGACAAGAGTGCAGTGGGCTTTGATGACCAGAGCAAGATGGAGAAGCACAAGTCACAGAAAAGCATGGGATGTACCTTTATCACCTTTTTCTCATGCATTTACAAACCAACATGCACAAGGGAATTTTCTCCCCTGTACAGGTGGGGGTTCACATAACGAAGGGGGTGCTTTCTGAGAAATCTGCCCTCAGGTGATTTTGTCATGTGAGCACCGTAGTGTCTGCACAAACCTGGGTGGTCTAGCCTACTGCACACCTACGCTGTACGGTGTATAAACTGTAGGACCACCACTGCATGTGTCATGGTCCGTCATAAATGGTGCATCACTGACCAAAGCAGTACTTTAATGAGAGGCCTTCAGAAAGCTCCCGCAGGGTCAGCCTCCAACCCTTCAGGATGCTAGGCCTGCACTCAAGTGTGCATTGTGGTTTTTGTTTCCGGATTTCAAGTTTTTCTTTTTCTATTCATAATAGGGCATGTGCACGCCCACGTGAGAATGTGAGAGGGTACTCTATTTTGACAGGCCATTCCACAATCCTTCTTCCAGGCTATCAGCTCTCAGGCACTCATCTGTCTAGTTGGCATGTTTCCGGCTGATGGGGCCAGGGACTAGAGCTGTGGTTGGCATGTGGCTTCCAGTTCCACAGTCCAGTATGCTACTGGCTATGCCAAAGGCTGGGCTGAAGACAACGGCTTTGTTTCATTTTGTCTCTCCAGAAAATAGGATAGCTAAGTCCTGTTTTGCTTTGTCCAGACAAAAAGGACTATTAGATAGAAAAAGCAGGGAGGCTCTGCATCAATGTTTTACATCTCACTAACGCTAACTCCAAGAACTAGGAAATACAGAAAATAGGGCGGCCCCTACATTAAATGGCAAGATTAGGGGCCAGCAGGTGATGTGTTTGGGGTGCTGGATTCCCACATGGCTGACCATGGTTTGAGTCCTAGACCCAGCAACTTCTTTTCTTGCTTTCCTTTTCTTTCTCAGGTCAAAATTAAAATAACAATAATAATAAAAGAATAACAAGTAGAATTAAATAAAAAAATTTTAAAATAGCAAGATTAGCAAACAATTTCTAAACAGGAAAGTACAAAATTCTGATAACTTCACTCTGATAGACAGAAGCTGGAGGGCCAATGGTGGGATGACTGGGGTGGGTAGATTTCACACAGCCAACTGCATGGTTTAAGTCCCAGACCCAGTGGCTTGAAAAACACACCAGGTACATGTGCATGCATGCCCAAAATCCTGACAGGAGAATGGAGGAGAAGGGACTGCAGTGGCCATCTCCCCCTCCCTCTCTCTTTTTTTCTGTGAGATATATCTTGCAGCAAAAACTTAAAAAAAAAAATCCTAAAAAAAGGGAAATCAGCTCGCTGAAATGCATTAATCTATGTAAGCACTCATTCAGAAGAGTGTATCAGCTATGGAGGGACAGTACAGGCAAATGCAAGTCAAAGTAAATGACAGCAGCACCTCCTACACAAAGCAGGGAGTCCTCAGCCACATGGCTCTGTGCATTCTTGAACAAAGGAATCAGTTCTCATCCTGGGGCAACTGGGCATGGCCTTTTGGGAGCAGCCTCAGTGTCCCCTGCCTGGTCACTCACTAGTGCCTGGCTTTCCCCCAGGAATCAACTGCCAGTCTGCAGCTGGAGGACTGAGCTCAGGCCTACCTGTGTGTGACTACCTGGAACCTGCCAGCACATCCCCTCCTCTCTGCCACACTGAACTCATTCGGGATTCAGGACTTGGGTTGAACTATCAGAGAACTAGGCTCCCTGGTTCCTAGTGGCCCTGAGTCTGGAAGAAGGTAGGCTTGAAAGCCATCCTGCAAGGGGGCACGGGGCAGCACACACGCAGTTTCAGGCAGGTCATTATTTGAGCCCTGGATCAAGTACAGCCTCAAGCCATCCTACCCTGGACTACGTGAGCCAACACATTTCCTGTCTCCTGTGGTTCCCGCAGGGAGTGATGCAAATGGAGCCTGGAGCCTCCAGAGCAGAGGCAGGAGCTACCTGGTCTTCCCTCGGATGACGCCCTGATGCAATACCTCCATCTTCCAGCTCTTTCATCCTATCAATTGATTTCTCTAATATAATTTCCATATGGTGACACCGCCTTCGATGACTCGGCCTGGAGCATGAGAACACGGCTGCAGTCCATTTTCAATATAATTACAGCTTATTCTCAGTATTCTTTATTGGCAGTGGAAAATGCTTCAGTATTTTATTGAAAGAAAGCAATAAATAATACTGTGATAAAAATAGTTCAAAAGTAGACTGTACATACTTTGTTACATAATCAGGAAGTTCACAAAAGATTAATAGAAAAACAGAACAGTAACAATGAATTGTACAAGTGAATTAAAAGCAGGAACCAAATGTAAAAAGACATGCTGTCTCTAGCTATGTATCAGTTGCATAATAAATAACGCACCATGATCTGACACATTTCTTGCTGGCTTTTTAATATGCCATTTAAAAAGTAAAAGTTACATTTGCTACTTATATCATCAAAATCTAAAAATGTACTACTAGGTTCATTCTTTTAACATGTTTACAAACAAATGTAAAAAGATGATTTACATAAGAAAAATAAGGCCTTTATTAGAGTTGCACTACATTATTTTCAGGATCTCCTGCCTTCGTCCGCTGTGGGCACCGATGACTGTGAGATGAGAGCGCAGTGCTCAGTGATTGGTCCTCGAAGAGTCATTGTACGGGTACCCTGCCGCCCTGCTTTCCCTGGAAAGCAGGCTGTAGGTGGGGGGCCGGCCCCCAGGCTACCCCACCCCAAGTCTGTCTCTCCCCGCTGAGAGAGTGGCTCCCAGCCCATGGCTCCTCATCAGTCTCTGAAGACAAGCTATCCAAGTCCAGAAAGACTAGGCTAGGCAAGGGTTAACCAGTGCGAAGAGATTTTCACAATCCTTCCAAGTCCAGCTTTGATTAGAATAGCTGATATTTAACATCAGATATTTTAAACCTGTTCACGCTGCAGAATAAAGCATTTCTTGCTAGAAAAAGTACAGTTAAGGTCAGTCATTAAAATACGACAATAATTGCTTGAAATTAAGTATGCTTATTTCAAAATGATTGTTGTAGAGCTAGGCTGCATTTGTAAAGGATAATGCACATCGCTTGTATCATGATTTTATAAACGTAGTAAAATCCTTTTCTCTGTCATGGTTTATCATTAAAAAATTAAACAATGATAATTACAATAAATGCGTAATTTACAAAAGCCCTATATCTGTTCATAGGATTTATACATACAAGCATTACAGTACATTCATTTGAAAGACTAAAATTAGGTATAAGAACAGGAATTGATTTGAAAGGATATTTATAGCCTGGATATACATGAAAAAGTAAGTAACTATATAAATGAAGACTCATTAAGTTTACATAAATATAAGAAACATTAAATTCTAAAATATTTTCTCTATGGTATTCATGAATTTTTCACTAATTAAAAACTCTGTAATAAAATATCTTAGGGTCCATATAACAAGTATTAACAGATTAAAGATTTCGTTGAATTCTAAAACGTAGCCTTTGTCGAAGTTGAAATGCTGCATAATCATCTGTAGAAGTAGTGTGGATAAACTGGAAAATAAAAACAAACAGAAGATGCACTCTTAACATAAGCAACAGTGACAAAGACCCTGACTTGGGACCAGCAGGTGGTGTGGTGGTTAAGGGTGTTGGATTCCCACATGGCTGAGCACAGTTCAAGTATTGGACCTGGCAGCTTGCTCTCTCACTTTCTCTCTCTCTTTCTCTCTCTGCCTGGATCAAACTAAAAAACATAATGATAATAAATAAAGTTAAGTAAAATATTTAAAAACAAAAAAAGCAAAGACCCTGCCTCAAAGGCTGCTGCCCGGGGAACTCACACCCACCAACTCCCATGGGCCACCACACTTCCTGTGCTTAAGCCGCTCGAAAATGACTACATAAAACACCAAGGACTATGTGTATCAGCGAGAAATTCCTTCACTGACTTTGGCCTATGTGTAAAAGTTACTGATTTAGAAAAAGTAATTGAGAGTGTGGGTTACCAATCAAATATTCCAGCTGAGACATTAACACCAAGCAGAGCAGACAGAGTCCAGCCCAGGTTCAGAGAGGGCAGGGAGAAGAGGGCTGAGCCAGTAGGCACCCCTGCCTGGGGACAGCAGAAGTGCCAAGCCACCCTGATAGGCGAGTATGGGGCTACTCTCGATTCAGATCTCTGAAGTGGCAATGCAGTTTTGTTGTTAAAAAAGGGCCAGCAGGTGGCATGGTGGTGAAGGTACTGGACTCCCAGATGGCCAACCGTGGTTCGAGTCCTGGATCTGGCTACTTGCTTTCTCATTTTTTACTTTCTCTCTCCCCATCCCTCTGTCTCTCTTTGGTGAACACACAAGCCCTATAGCAAATTTAAATAATAATAAGTAAAATTAAATAAATATTTTTTAAAGAATCGTTTTATTTAACTTTATTTATTTAAATTTGACCAGAGAGGGGCAGAGTGAGAGTGAGGGGGAAAGTAAGAAAGCAAGTCGGCAGGTTCAAGACTCAAACCACAGTTGGCCATGTGGGAGTCCAGCGATCTTAACCGCCATGCCACCTGCTGGCCCCCCCAAATAAATAATTCTTTTAAAAAAATAAAAACAAATCTATCTTGAAAACCTGTGTCACATGATCATATGTGAAACTTAATAGTATATGCAGTTAACCACAAAACTTTGGGACCTGTAATAATATAAAACAAAATTAGGGATTATACCAAAGTGCAGAAAATGCCAAAGTGGAAAAGCCTGCCCTGATGGGTTCTGGGAAGTATACTTAGGGCTGAGTTAAAGCTGTCTGTCCTGTTCTGTTCTCCAGTTCACTTCTGCCCCAGATGACATTAGCAGACATTTAAAATAAGCCAAGATTTTCAGGTTTACAGAAAAAGAAGAAATACAAGGGGTCTTCAAAAAGTTCATAGAAAATGTGTATTATGAAAAAGACTATACATGGTTTCAAATTTTTTCTGTATCGATATAAGCTTGTACTTTAACTCTATTTTCCACGAGCTTTTTGAAGTCTCTGTATGTGTTTCCTTAAAAATGAGGACTCGTGCTTATTTCTTTATAACCAGTTGTGACACCGAAAGAGCCTGTGTGTCTGTATTGGTTTTAATTCCCAAATTAACCGAAGCTGGCTCTCACAGTCCAAAGCCAACAACTCTGGTTGGACATCACTGCTCCATGCTTCAGGACGGAGGCAATTCTGAGCAGTCTCTGGGGCTGACATTGCCCTCTACTCACCAGCAGGAGGCGTCAGCAGGAGTAAGTCCTGACCGTAGCAGGGTCCAACCTCTGTGCTCCTGACACACTGCCTGTTTCAGCACCACGAGGGGAAGCGTGCAAACACAGCGTGCAGTTAGTCTTCAAACATCACACGAGAGCACAAGTACAGACACACATTTCCACCTACAATAGCACCTACTAAGGAATCTGAGGAGAGCCTGCTAGAGTGGGCAGAGGGAGCCTCAAGAAGAGAATCAAAGGGCTGCCCCTATGGTAAATCTCCCTGACTCCCAAGGAGCCCTGGGGACCACCAAGTTAACAATAGCAAATGAGCATTGAGTGAAAAAAAAAATTATTTTGAAATATAAATGTACCTAAATGATGACTAAAGTGACCACTTTGTTTCTACTTAAATCCTACATTTATAGATCAATTGAACTTTTCTTTCTGCCGTAAGTACTCTCTTCAAAGAATGGCATGAGGTGGTAGTTAAGGTGGCTGGATCCCACAAGGCCGACTGCGCAGTTCAAGTTGAACCTGGTGGCTTGAAAAACATACCAGGTGTATGTGTGTGTGCATGCCCAGAATTTTGAGAAGAGGATGGAAGAGTAAGAACTGTCACATGGCCATGGCCCCAGTGGAAGATTTCTCACTTTCCCTGTCTCTCTATCTCTGAGTGCACATGCCCTCTAGCAAAATTAAAAAAAAACCAAAAAACAAAAAACAAAACAAACAAACAAACAGAACAGTATGAGGTGAATAGTGGCTATGTGAGATGTTCCCCGGTCCCACTGAAGGGCTAGAGATGGATGTGAGCACCTGACTGGCCTAGGAGGAGGGGAGGAGAAGAGCAGAAGAGGTGTGGCTGCAGGGCTGGGCCTGGCTGGGCAGTGGGGCCAATACCATGCCTTATCCAAGAAAGCAGAAGCCCACTTTTGGTTAATGGAAACCAGATTTTTTTGGTTCATTCAAAAAAACATTGCATGTTCCAACAAGTAAGCCTGATTACCCCTCATGAACTAGATAAATTAAAACTTGCAAAATTCTGAAATGGGTGTTTGCTGCTGCCAGCCCTACGTTCTTGGTTTTCCCATGGGTACACTGGGAGCACTTGTTTGTCAATATCCTGCCATGGTTCCAGGAAGACCTTAAAACACCTAGTGAGAATGGATACTCTACAAATCTGTCTAACACCCAGGAGACCTGCTGGGATTGACCTCACAGTTCCTTATTTAAAAAGCCATTAAAATAACCCATCTTATCAGGCTTATGCATGATGTACATAAGGATAAAAAGTCATCTTATCTATAATATATCCTCAACATTTTTTTCTTGGTTTATTATTACTAAATTAAAAAAAACATTTGCTATAGGGTGCGTGTATCCACCAGACACAGAGAGACAGAGGCGGAAAAGTGAGAAAACACTTCCGGGGGGATAATTATACCACAATCCCTTTTCTTCCATCCTCCTCTTAGGATATTGGGCATGTGCACACACGTGCTTGGACTGTTTTTCAAACTGCCAGGCCCAAGACTCAAAATGCAGTTGGCCATGTGGGATCCAGCTGCCTTAACCTCTGTGCCACCAACCAGCCCCTCTAGTTTAATAGCTAATCTACTCAAGTTCTTAATAGAGCTATTAACATTTAACAGGATAAATGTGATGTATTTTTTTTTCATAATGGACAGAAGGTATGTGTGATAGCTTCAGTGAGGCAGAGGGAGAAAGCTCCCATGAATGGGGTACAGCCACACGGTAAGCCCCTCCCTTCCACTTCTCCATCCTGTTGAGATTTAGGGCATGCACAAGTCACTGAGGCCAGGCTTTGAGTTATGGTCAGGCATGTTGGATCTGGCTTTCTTAACCACTAGACTACAAGGCCTACCTGGAAAGGTGATTTATAATGAGGAAAATCAAAATTGAAGCTATAGGAAAATAAAAAAGCACTCAATGACACTACTCAATAAGAGGTTGAGGGTCAGATTGCAATAATAATTTATATGAATTTTATATGTAATTTTAAAGAAGGTGTTAGTTAAAAGACATACTATATTGGGTTGTTGGAAAAGTCATGACGTTTTTTTTTTCTATGCAAAATGTGACATGACTTTTCCATCAGCCCAATACTTAACAATATTAAATGCGGGTTAAAAAAATATATATATGCGTGTACACACACACACACAAGCTTTCATGAAAAATCCTGCCCTGTAAGTCATCCTCATAAAAAACGTCCAGGTTAACAATGGCTTTATATAAATATGCTTTTCTCTGATTTTGATATAGGTAAGACCAAAACTTACCTATGGGAGGGGCTGACAGGAAGAAATTGCAAAAGCTCCATCAGTACAGTTTTTAAAACTCACTCACTTTCCTACAAGCTACCTGTCTGCCTCTCAAATGAGAACGCATGACGGAGCCGTCTAACGGGAACTGCTGCAATAGCCCGGACAGCTGGCGCTGACACAGGGCTCAGGACTTGACTCTCTCAGCTGTATGTGAATGACCCACTCGACCACCACAGCCACCCTTGGGAGAAGTACTATCCTGACAGCATGTTACAGGTGGGGAAACCGACGCATGCTGCAGTGAAATGACTTGCTCTAGGTCTAGCACCTCCTGGTGGCAGACCCAGATTCGCCTGGACAGGACTCAACGTACCGATGAGTCCCGTGTCAGAGCTGAGGAAACCATGGTCACTCTTAATCAGCTATGGTCTCAAGTCAAAGTGGTCATCAAAAGGAGCACCCAAAAATTCATCTGAAGTCTGAAATCACAACACCTGACCATCTCGCTGTATTCTACAGGGCTGACCTTGCTCCCCTGGTGCTGTCCCCAAGGCTCCCCTTCCTCCTCCTCTCCCTTGTCCTTCTCCAATGGGTAAGCATGTAATTATGTGGAAAATAACAGAGGGAGGGAAGGAAAAAAGGAAAGGCAGAGCTGGCAGAATTTGCAAACTGTTGCTATTTAAAATGTTTGCAGTCACTTTTTCCAGTGTGGAGAGAAGTCCTAAAGGTAAATTCTGTGTCTGGAAAGCTGGGATACTATTAGCCGACCAAAGAGCCTTCCGCTGCTGCCTGGCACGTATTTACAAGGAAGGCTGTAAATCTCATGCTCTGAGAACACAGACAATGCTTAGCTTTATTAGTTGGAAAAATATGCTAAGATTCGACAAGACAAGAACTTTTCAAAAATTCTATTATTGTTGTTAAACTTTTATGAACAAATGTTAGAGTTAATTGAAAAACATTTACATCTGGGCATGCAACTATACTCAGTGCCTGGTAATAACCGAAACAGGCCATCCTAGAGTATTATTCACATTCCAAACAACTACTTGTGCTCCGAACAAGAAGGGTAAGCATGGCCCATCACATACCGTCCATCTGCATCTTCTTTGGCTGCATAGAGGGTGAAGACATAGAAGCAGTGACCCGGAAGTTTGCAGGGAGTGTCTCTGCTGACCCCGCGGCTAAGCCGCGAATGTCCTTTGGTCTGAATTTCTTTCTCCATGACGGTGCTCTCCTAAAGCTTTTATCATCATCCTGGGAAAATCAAGAGATAATACAATTTGTTTAATAATAAGGGACAGAGATATCTGACTATCCTTTACAATGACTACTGACCTAATGCTATATTCTCGCTCATATGTATTTAACTCCTTCTGGATAATCATGGAATATGAAAGATGGCCTGGGGAGAAACCGGCGGGGACCCAACTGGCATAAATGAAGACAGGTCTGAGACACTAGGGGTATGTCCTACACATCGCCATGGTACACTTCTTATCTTGCAGAAATCACTTTCTTGCTATATAATACATTTTTATTTGTCTAAAAAACAGTTTTCAAGCTATAAGCAATTACACCTAATGCCAGAATATGGCTAATAAGTGTTTCATTTTCAGAGGGGAATTTCTATTCCATGTATCAAATTCAAGTTGTTTTTTTTTTTTTTTGAGAGGTTTTTGCTACAGGGTGCGTGCACTCGCCAGACAGACAGAGAGACAGAAAGCAAGAAATCACCCCCCAGGAGGGATGGTCACGCCGCAATCCCTTCTCCTCCATTCTCTCAGGATCTTGGGCACGCACGCACATGTGCCCAGCATGAGTTTAAGCCACCGGGTCCGGGACTCAAACCACGGTCGACTACATGGGAGTTCAGCGACATAGCCATTATGCTAACTGCTGGTCCCAAATTCAAGTTTTTTTTTTGAGGTCAACTGAAAACAATAATTAATAGCATGGGAAGGCCCCAGCAAGTGGCGTGGTGTTAGAGTGCTGAATTCCCACATGGCTGACTATGGTTCAAGTCTCGGCCCTGGCAGCTTGAATATAACACTGGGTCTGTGTGTGGCCAAATTCCCGAGCAGAGACTATAGGAGAAGACTGTAGTATGGCCATCCCTCTAAGAGGTGATTTCTCACCTTCCCCCTCTCTCTCTCTCTGATAGTACACATGCCCTATGGTAAAAACCTTAAAAAAAAAATAATGTGGGAACAAATGAGTCACTATTTTGTATTAGGGGAAATTGGCATTTTTTTAAAAAATATGTACTTCTGAATGAAACATGCCCTCACAAAGCACAGGAGCTCAGGGTTGGGGAAAACATCTAGTTATTCCGAAGCACAACTTATAGACTCCATTCCCAGGCTGCAAACAACGCTTTATGATGTGAAAAACATTTTTGATATAAAAAAGTAAATAGCAAAAGTGAAAAAAAAAAATCTTACTGAAACGGCCAGTTTCAGGCCAGCAAGTGCCTGGTGGTTGGATCCCACACAGATGACAACACAGTCTGACTCTTGGACCTGACCTGGCAGTTTGAAAAACCTGCTGGGCATGTGTGTGCATGCATGCTCAAAATCCAAAATCCAAAATCCAAAAAGGAGGGAGAGATGACCATTTCCCACGCAGGGTACTTTCTCTCTCCCTCTTCCCCTCCCTCTTTCCTGTGAATGCACAACCCTGCCTTCTAGCAAATTTTTTTTTTTTTTTTTAGAATTATACATATAGGGAACCAGCAGTTAGCGTAATGGCTATGTCGCTGGACTCCCACGTAGTCGATCGCGGTTCGCGTGTCGGACCCGGTGGCTAAAATCTCACGCTGGGTGCGTGTATGTGTATGCCCAAGATCCTGAGAGGAGAATGGAGGAGTAGGGATTGTGGCATGACCATCCCCCCGGGGGGTGATTTCTCGCTTTCTGTCTCTATGTCTCTCTCTGTCTGGCGAGCGCACACGCCCTATAGCAAAAACCTCTCCAAAAAAAAAAAAAATATATATATATATTTTTTCACATTTGTTTTGCCAGAGAAAGATAGAGGGAGAGTGAGAAAGCAAGCCACCAGTTACAAGACTTGAACCATGGTTGGCCATGTGGGAATTTCAGCACCTTAACCACCACGCCACCTGCTGGTTCCTCTAGCAAACGTTTTAAATAAGAAAGTAACAGTTTCACAGCCAGCAGGTGACATAGTGTTTAAGGCACTATTCCCACTTAGCCAGCTGTTCGAGGTGCTTCGAGGCACAGTGTTTAAGGTGCTATTCCCACTTGCCCAGCCCTGGCAGCTTGAAACACACCAGGTGTGTGTGCATGTGTACATGTCCAAAATCCTGAGAGTGAGAACGGAGGAGAAGGGATTGTGGCATGACCATCTCTCCTGGGGGATGATTACTCGCTTTCTATCTCCCTCTGTCTCTTCGGTGAGTAGATGTACCCAATAGTAAAAATCTCTAAAAATAAAAAAAAAGAAAAAGAAAATGTTGGCTTTTAGGAGTTTAAATTTTTAAGAGCACAGCATAACTTGCAAAGTAAAATGATCTCCATGTTTAGAAAAGATAGCCTAGCTACACGCAAGTCTTCAGTGTGGTAAAACAGCTTCCATTTACTGCAGATTTAAAAAGTGTTTGGCCGAGGCCCAGCTGCAGTGGCATAGGCAATAGGGGTGTGGCTACATAATTCTGGAAAGGCTACACATATGGAAAGGCCTCAGGTCACGTCTGGGTCTGCCTGAACACTCCGTGTATACCCATGTTACCGACTGGCTATAGGGTTGGGGGGGGGGGGTAGGAGTGTGTGTGTGTGTGTGTGTGTGTGTGTGTGTGTGTGTGTGTACACCCTGGCAAAGATATCTGTTCTCTATCTCTAGCTCTTTCATTAGGGAAATAAATAAACTTTTTTAAAAAAGAACTTAAGTTGCAAACTTACTTCATCGAACCTTCTGTCAGTTCCCATGACCAAAAGGTTGTTAAATTCTCTTTCCAAGACAGCGCGAGCCTGAAATAAGAAAAAAACCACCACCACCAAAACGTTCATCAGTCTGATCTAATGGATGGTAATACATCACAACTGTTCTTAAACTAAGGCTTTCAAACCCTACTCACTGCTATGACTGTACTAAACCACGACAGTGTCTTCAATCAAGGTCTTTTTTTTTGGAGAGTTTTTTTTTTTTTTACCATAGGGCGCGTGCGCTTGCCAGACAGACAGACAGAGACAGAGAGACAGAAAGCGAGAAATCCCCCAGGGGGGGATGGCCACGCTGCAATTCCTTCTCCTCCATTCTCCCCTCGGGATCTTAGGCACTCACGCACACACGCCTGGCATGAGTTTTAAGCCACTGGGTCCAGGACTCAAACCGCAGTTGACTACATGGGAGTCCAGCGACATAGCCATTATGCTAACTGCTGGTCCCAATCAGGGTCTTTAATATGGAGCCTTTGGATGGACTTGTGGAGACAGAGATCCATTATCTCTTGGAAATTATACATAAGCATGTACTGTGTGGATTGGTCAGGGTACTGGCAAGAGATTTTCAATGTTCTGTAGAAAGATAAAAATGTCCTGATTTTCAGATGGCCCATGAGTCAAAAAGAACGAGGACTCATCTCTTTTTTTTTTTTTTTTTGAGAGATTTTCACTGTAGGGCATGTGCGCTCACCAGACAGACAGAGAGAGACATAGAGACAGAAAGCGAGAAATCACCCCCCGGGGGGATGGTCACGCCGCAATCCCTTCTCCTCCATTCTCCTCTCGGGATCTTGGGCACGCACGCACACGCGCCCGGCATGAGTTTTAAGCCACCGAGTCCAGGACGTGAACCATGGTCGACTACGTGGGAATCCAGCGACATAGCCATTACGCTAACTGCTGGTTCCCGAGGACTCATCTCTTACCACTTTCCTTTGTTCTAAATTCTTCCCTAGAGGCTGGGGAGAGTCATGCTAGTAAATGGTCTGACTAAACATAAACAGGGCTCTCTGACCCAGGGACGGTGGGTTACTCCAAGATTCTAACTGGCACAACATCGCATCACGGCGCCAAGGCCTTATCTCTGTGACGATCAGACTCAGTCAGGCTTTTCTGCTGCCTGTAGGATGTTTAAAGCAAATCTTTGTATTTTAACCAGTTACTAACTGAAGCACCTCTAAGTTCATCTATGACCTGTAAGCCCTCATTTCAAGATGTCCTACCTTTTCAGGTCAAACCGATATATAATCTTCATGTGCTGACTGACAGCTATGCTTGTATCTATTACTCTCAGAAAAATATAAAATAACTACTGCAATCCAACCACCCTGGAACAATTTCTCAAGGCTACTTAAAGTTGTGTTTTCCTTCGGCACATTCACTCATATTTTACAGAGTTTGGTTACTTTCACAGATAAGAATTACATAAGGTGGGCCAACTGATGGTGTTGTGGTTAAGGTAGCTGCATCCCAAATGGCTGACATAGTGGTTCAAGTCCTGGACCTGGGGGCTTGAAAAATATACTGGGCATATGTGTGTGCGCACTGGAAATTCTGAGAGGAGAATGGAGAAGACGCGATTGTGAGGTGGCCGTGCCCCTGGGGGGTAATTTCTCACTCCTTCTTTCTGTCTCTCCAGCAAGCACACACACCACCATCACAAAAAGTAAATAAAGTTATTTTTTTAAAAATTACATAAGGCAATTGCCCAAAGAAGCAAAATTTCAAAAGCCTCCACATGGCACACCTAAGAATATTTTTCTTTATATGTAAGAACTAAAGATGTATCACTCTTAAGAGCATATGGACTAGAATAAAAGATTCTCCTTATTTTGTTTAAGACTCTCCTATACTTGCAACAGAAAATGGAAAGGTGATAGAGAAACATAAAAACTTAAGCACTGATTTTTATGAACCATTGTATTACAGACTAGTTATGGAGATGACTAATTCCCTGAGGTTTTTTGTTTGTTTGTTTTGGTTATGTTTTCTGTCCATTCAAATCGATACACAAATGTCATTTATAATCGGGAAAACTGACTGAGCACTGTGACTGAGCGAAAATACAGAAAGGCTCTAGTGTCACCTGTGTGTTCTGCGTTGGGATCTGTAATAACAGTGCCAGTGTATTGAAATCGAAGGTTTCATCTAAGGCCAGAAGTGCACCGTGAACGCCACTCTCTATGAGATTGTTTGCATATTCTTTAAGACCGATTGACAGGATCCAGCGAATCACTCGATCATTGCTCCAAACAAGCACATCTGCAGAGAAATAAAGCATTATAAAAGTGGCATCAGAAAGTCATCTTCATCACACATACCTACAGGAGACACAACCCCCACAAGTACTGGACAACCCTGCTACTTAGGTAAGGGTCTGCTGCACTTAGACACTGGTGTTCTGGCCCTACTTCATACTAATAAGAACTCTCCCGGGGCCAGCAGATGGTGTAGCTGTTACGTCACTGGACTCCCACATGGCCAACCATGGTTCAAGTCCCAGACCCAGTGGCTTCAAACTCATGCTGGGCACATGCACGTGCATGCCCAAGATCCCAGGAAGAGAACAGAGGAGAAGGGATTGTGGCATGGTCACCCCCGAGGGGTGGTGGTGATTTCTCACTGTCTCTCTGAGGAGCGCACATGTCCTATAGCAAAAAAAAAAAAAATCTCTTAAAAAAAAAAAAACCTCTCATTAGAACTGGTTTTTGGGGTTGGTTGCGTGGTGGTTAAGGTGCTAGACTCCCACATGGCCAACAGTGGTTTGAGTACTGGATCCAGCTTGCTTTATCTCTTTCACTCTTTCTCTATTCAAATTAAAATAATAATAAATAAGATAAATAATTCTTTTAAAAAAAGAACTAGTTCTTGGGAGCCAACATGTGGCATGGTGGTTAAGGTGCTGGACTTCCACGTGGCTGATTATGGTTCAAGTCCTGAACCCAGCAGTTTGCTTTCTCACTTTGTCCCTCTCTCACTCACTCTCTCTCTCTCTTTGGTGAGTGCCCATACCCTATAGAAAAGAAAAATAATAAATGAAAATAAATAACAATTTTTTCAAAGAATTATTTTATTTACCTTTATGTATTTAATTTTTTAATTTTACCAGAGAGGGACAGAGCGAGGTGAGGGGCAGAGGGAGAGGGAGAAAGGAGAGAGAGAGAGAAAGTAGAAAGCAAGCTGCCAGATCTGGGACTCAGACCACGTTCAGCCACGTGGGATTCCAGCGCTCTTAACCACCATGCTACCTGCTAGCCTCTAAAACTAAATAATTCTTAAAAAAAAAAAAAAAAGGGACCAGCAGATGGTGTAATGGTTATATCACTGGACCCCGAAATAGTCGACCGTAGTTTGAGTCCCAGACCTGGCGGCTTAAAACTCATGCTGGACGCATGTGCGTGCATGTCCAAAATCCCAACAGGAGAATGGAGAAAAGGGATGGTGTGGTGGCCATGTCCTCTGGGGGGTGATTTCTCACTTTCTGTCTCTGTCTCTCTGGCAAATGTGCATGTGCCCTACAGCAAAAATTAAAAAAAAAAAAAGAACTGGTCCCTTCAGTAAATATGAGAAGAATTAAGTTGTCATGCACATTATATTTCTAGAGAATACAAAATGGTGAGGATCTAGAAACAGAAACTACAAAGACCGAGAATGTGAACATGTAACATGTATAGACATGTTCCATGCACAGACTTCTGAGTCTTCTGTAATACATCTTCTCACGGCAGAACGAGTTGGAACTACTGTAATCTAGACACCCGCTCAATTTAACATAAATCTCTTACTTCTAATCTTGAAGATTTTGTTCACATTGTCTCATTAAAAAAAAAAAACTCAAACTCTACTTAAAAAGGAGAGAAATTCTTTTAATATTCTTTAGCACATTAGAGACTTTAGGGAAGATGTTATCTAATGCACACTAATAAATTATTAAGCTTGCTCCATTAAAGATCCCAAAATACCCACTCTATAAAAATACTTTCAGATGATCACCAATCACTTTCAAAGACAGCCTTTGTTAATTATAAAAAGATGTATAAAGGGGGCCAGAAGGTGGCGCAGTGGTAACACAATTGGATCCACATGGGAAGGTCCTAGGTGTGTGGTGGGAGGCCTCTCTAAGCATGCCTGCTAAGGCTGGCGGTAGACTGAAACATGGGCACCCAGCTGGGTATGGTTATCCCCTCGGTTCCATAGAAGTAATAAGTAAACTTTTAAAAAGTGCTAAGCTCGGCTATATTAAAATAAAAATGATTCAAAACAAATACAGGAAAAAAAATGGAATGTCATATTTAATTTCCAGTGTTATTTTCTGCACAAAAGGCCATTCTTTCTACATGAAGAGGTCTTCAAAAAAGTTCATGGAGATGCACATTATAAAAAACCATGCATGTGGGACCAGCAATTAGCGTAATGGCTATGTCGCTGGACTCCCATGTAGTCGACCGCGGTTCGTGTCCCAGACCCGGACCGAGTGGCTTAAAACTCACGCCGGGCGCGTCTGTGTGCGTGCCCAAGATCCCGAGAGGAGAATGGAGGAGAAAGGATTGAGGCCGTGGACATCCCCCCGTGGGGTGATTTCTCGCTTTCTGTCTTTCTATCTCTCTCTTTCTTTCTTGTGAGTGCACGCGCCCTATTGCAAAAACCTCTTTAAAAAAAAAACAACTATGTATGTATTTCAAAAACATTTGCACCAAAATAAATTTAGGTTTTAATTCCATTTTTCCATAAACTTTTGAAGTCCCTCATATGTATTTGGAGAGTTGTGTTTTTTGTTTTTGTTTGTTTCTGTATTTTTGTTGTAGGGTGCATGTGCTCTCCAGAAAGACAGAGAGAGACAGAGAGACAGAAAGACAGAAATCACCCCCTGTGGGGGGATGGCCACGCCACAATCCCTTCTCTTCCATTCTCCCTTTGGGACTTTGGGCACACATGCACCCAGTGTGAGTTTAAGACACCAGGTCTGGGACTTGAACCATGGTCAACTACATGGGAGTCCAGTGATGTAGCCATTTCACCATCTGCTGGTTCCGAAGTCCCTCACATATATTGTATAAATGCCAACTTATGGTTTTCCTCATGACTTGTAGTAACTCAATCATGAGTAGACTACCCTACAAATAAGCCATCTTCCAACCATATTTTTAATCTTTAGTTTCTTTTTAGTTAAAAAACTAGAAATGAAAATAGCATATAACTTATAGTTATGGTAAGGATCTAGTATATCGACCTACGAAAGCATTTAGAAGAACACTGCCTGGCATCTACTCATTGTTCTGTAAGTCGGCTGGTGCTTCTTTTTCTTAATATTTCAAACTACCTTTTGCCATAGGGTGCATGCACTTGCCAGAGAGAAACAGAGACAGGGAAAGGGAGAGATCATCCCCCAAGGAAGATGACCACACTACAATCCCTTCTTCTCCATTGTCCTCCCAGGATTTGGGGCATGCACGTACATGTGCCTGGCATGATTTCAAACTGCTAGATCTGGGATTTGAACCACAGTCTGCAACACGGGAGTCCAGTGTCTTAACCACCACGCCACCTGCTGGCCTCAAGTCTCCTTCTTATCATTATTATTGCTATTACTGATTTTCTTATATTCTAAACATTCTAGGGGCCTTAACTTTGAGTTTAATGGTCCATGTCTTCCTTAAGAGCAAATCACTAGCAGGACCAGTAGATGGCATAATGGTTACATCACTGGACTCGACCACGGTTCCAGTCCCAGACCCAGGGGCTTAAGAAAACTCATGCCAGGCGCAGCATGTGTGTGCACACCCAAAATCCCAAGAGGTGAAAGGATTGCAGCAGAGCCATCCCCCCAAAGGGGGTGATTTCTTGCTTTCTGTCTCTCTGGTGAGTACACGTGCCCAATAGCAAAAATCTCTTAAAAAAAAAAACAAAAAAAAAAAAAACCAGCAAATCACTGGCTCTGGTTATTCAGAGGGGCAGTAGGTGAGTGGCTCCAGCCCAAGAAAAGCCCATGTCTTCCAGATCAATGTCCTGTGTCGTCGTTTTTGTTTTTTTTTTTAAGAGATTTTTGCTATTGGGCACGTGTACTCACCAGAGAGACAGAAAGCAAGAAGTCACCCCCTAAGGGTGATGGCCACACCACCACAATACCTTCTCCTCCATTCTCCTCGCTAGATTTTGGGCATGCACCCAGCGAGGTTTTAAGGGGCCAGGTCCAGGACTCGAACTGCAGTCAACTATGTGGGAGAGTCCAGCGATGTAATCATTACGCCATCTGCTGGTCCTATCCCATGTCTTCTTACACATCCCTAGCCTTTGTATTCCTTACCATCCACCTCCACCAAAAAAAGTTCCTACTCCATCTTCAAGGACTGCTGAAATGCTAGCTCTGTGCCTCTCCCTCCACTCTGGGAGCAGAACCGAATGTTCCTTTGTCCTCCCAAAGCCTGAATAAACCCCAACAGCCATATTTTCCACACGTAAACCAAGTGGGCTTGTTTACCTTTGCTCTGTTGTTCTTAAACAGAATTTTTGAGCAAATGAAAGTATGTGTTACAACAGAGGAAAACTAAAGTCAAGTCATCAGTGTTAGGTGTAGATGTTTAACCCGGAGACCGATGCAGACAGGAGAGACTATTCTCTCATGATCTCTGGCTGCACAGCTGAATCTCAAAAGCACTTATTTTGATCCCTTCCCCCTCTATAATGGTGCGGATGAGTTTCTTTCACTTAAAACTTACTTTCTTTTGCTTTTTATTTTTGCTTTTTAAAATTTTTTTAAAAATATGAACTCTCCAAGGCTGTTAATACAATAGGAAGCAGAAATACACTAAATCAATGAAACGAAATGTACTAGCCTTTTATTTCATTCTGACTTTCTTCTCTTTTTCTTTCCAGTTCTTTCCGGTCATAATTTAACCTCCGCAGGCACATAATTCCACACTGGAAACTGTTCCTATTCAAAAAAAGGAGAGAGAATGAGAGATTACTTAGAAATGGCAACAGTAAAATATCTTAATCAAAGAGTTATATGCATGGCTAGCAGGTGGTGTGGTGGCTGAGGCAGCTGGATCCAACATGGCCAAGTCCACCAGGTCCACGATTTGAGTCCTGGACTGGTGGCTTGAAAATCACACTGGGCACATGTATGCACATGCCTGGAATCCTGAAAGGAATATAAAGGAGAAGGGAGTACACCATGGCCATCCTCCTTGGGGAGGTGATTTCTCACTTCTCTCTGTCTCTCTCCAGTAAACACATGTGCCCTGTAGTAAGAACTAAAGAGTTATGGGGTCAGCAGATGGTATGGTGGTTAAGGGCGCTGGACTCCTACATGGCCAACCATGGTTCGAGTACCAAATCTGGCAGCTTGCTTTCTTACTCCCTGCCCCACCCTGTCCCTCTCTGGAAAAACTAAAATAAATAAGTAAATAAAGGAAGTTAAAGAAAATAATTCTTAAAAAAATAAAGAACTAAAGAGTTATGTGCATTAACTTACCTGTGAAAACTGTCAACCATTTTCAGTTGCCCTCGCAGATCCTTCTTTGTCAAGTGATCCAGCATCCTGGCATCTACAAGGCACTCCATGAAATAGCTGCGGTACTGAGGAAGGCCCAGGCTGGGGAGCCACTCATTGCCAATCCACTCGTGGTTCATGTCCCCATATGCGAGTGTCTGCTTTGAATAAACGAGTAAGATTAGTTATGGGAGTTTGTCACAAGAGCACTTTAAATAATCTTTAAATCAGATTTTTAAGTTATTACATATTCTCAAAGGATAACCTAATGACAAAATGCTCTCCATAATTTAAAAATAATTAAAATTTGGTAGTAAAGTCCCATACAAAAGGAATCCTATCATTAAAAGTCTATGGCTCATTTGTGATAAATCTAACTCTCAAATTAAAAAGAAAATCTGTGACTGACTACAAGTTTCCTTTCTGAAATAGTTTTTAATATAATAATATAACAAAGAACGGTAACGACTCATGAACAAGTTTGAAGGGCCAATTCAACTCTAATGAAAATGATCTCTGGCTGGTTTTAGTCTTATTTTTAATGCTATGGTTCTCAATGTAACATATCTGTTTACTTTGAAATCAGTAAAAGTGAATTAAAAAATAGTTTTAAAGAAGACATAAACAAGACCAGTCAGTGGGGTTGGTTGAGGTGGCTGGATCCCACGTGGCCGACTGTGATGTTCAAGTCCTAGGCCCAGCGGCCTGAAAAACATGCCAGGCCCATGTGCGTGTGTGCATACATGTGTGCCCAAAATCATGAAAGGAAAAACGGAGAGCATAGCCACCACCATGGGAGGTGCATCCTTCCCGACCTAATCTCTCTCTAGTAAGTGCATACACCCTCTAGCAAATTAAAAAACAAAAGTCATAAACAAATCAGTAACTATAGGACAGAGTGAGAAGCAGACAAATTCCCAAGCCAAAAACAAAAAAAATCTTAAGAATATAAAAGCTCAACCAACTTGACCTAATTAATAACTTACAGAACATACTATACAAAACATAGTATATGGACAAATCTTAATGTATTTAAAGGCTGAAATCATACGAAGTATGTTCTCTAATCTCAACAGAATTAAATTAGAAATCAATAATAAAAAGATAACTAGAAGCTCCTCAAATATTTGGAAATTAGAATACTTTTAAATAACCCATGTATCAAAGAAGACATCCCATGGGATATTGGGAAATATATATTTTGGAGAGATTTTTGCTATTTGGTGCGTGTACTCACTGAAGAGAGAGACAGAAAGAAAGAAATCACCCTCTGGGAGGATGGCCACACTGCAATCCCTTCTCCATTCTCTTCTCAGGATTTTGAGCACACACAAACACACACACACGCACACATGCCTGGCATGAGTTTCAAACTGCCAGGTCCAGGACTCAAACCGTAGTCAACCACATGGGAGTCCAGCACCCCAACCACTACACCATTTTCTGGCCCCTAGGTTTTAATTGACCAAGACCAAAAACAATATATAGTAAAAAATTGTGGGATACAGATAAAGCAGCACACTGAGGCAAATTTATAGTATTAAGTGCTATAAATGCAGAAAATGATCTAAATTTCAAGAAGGAAAAGAAGCACAAACAAAATCCACAGCTAGCAGAAAAAAGAGAGATCAATTCAACAGAAAACAAAAAACAGAAAGTAAACTAATAAAACTAAACCTGTTTTCTTCATAAGTATCAACAAAATTAACAAATCCTAGTCAGACTGATCAAGAAAAAAGAAAAGACACAAATGATCAGCATCAAGAATGAAAGTAGGAATGACAATATAGATTCAATAGACACTGGAGGAATAAGGGAATACTGAGAGCACTGTAAGCAACTTACATGAAATACACACATTTTTTAAGATAAGAAATACAAGAGCCACTAAGTAACAGATTCCCTGTACTTTTTAGAACCTGAACTTGTAGTTATATTACGTATCTCTCTCACATAAATCTACCACGCAGTTTTGGTGAATTCTATCAAATACTTATCAAAATAAATAAATAAAAACCCACAACTCTACAAAATAGACTTCATAAAAGAAGAACTGTCCTAACTCATTCTATGAGGTCAACATTATTCTGATAGTAAAACCAAAGCTATTACACGGAAAAAACCCTACAGATCAATATCCCTTATAGACACAGAAGCAAATGGTAGCAAATCAAATCAACATATACTCTATCATAACTGGACTATATGATCCCAAGAACAGATTGATTCAAAATTTTAAAATCAATGAGATTCACTATCAAGAAACAAAATAAGGGAACCAGCAGTTAGCGTAATGGCTATGTTGCTGGACTCCCACATGGTCGACCATGGTTCGCGTCCCGGACCCGGTGGCTTAGAACTCACGCCAGGTGCGTGTGCGTGCGTGCCCAAGATCCCGAGAGGAGAATGGAGGAGAAGCGATTGCGGAGTGACCATTCCCCCTGGGGGGTGATTTCTCGCTTTCTGTCTCTATGTCTCTCTCTGTCTATCTGGCGAGCGCATGCACCCTATAGCAAAAACCTCTCAAAAAAAAAAAAAAAAGAAAAGAAAAAAGAAAAGAAAAGAAAAGAAACAAAATAAGAAAAATCCTAGTATCATCTCAAAAGATGTAGAAAGAAAATTTGACAACATCTCTAGAACTCTTGGGAAGCAAGGTCAATATATGAAAATGAATTGTATTTCCAGATACTACCAATAGATTGGAAACCAAAAACTTTAAAATATTATTTATAAATGTAATCAAAACTCATAAAACCCTTTGGAATAAATCTAACAGAATATGTGAAAAACTGTGCAATGAAAAAGAAGTAACATAATATGTACACACGTATCAGAGAAAGGACTTGCCCTGCTCCAATTGAAGAAAAGGTTGGTTCACAGGAATTCCACAGTTACATGATAGGATACAGAATTTCCTCAGAAATAGTAACTTCAACTACCACCATGTTCTGCTTGAAAGGATGACTTCTAATCGAATTTATTACTTGTTTCAATCAAGCTGGAAGGAATGACTCAAATTCTAATAAGAATGTTCAAATTCTAATGTAAAAAATTGTTTCACTTCCTCTAACCAACCATGAGTAAGAAATATGCCAAACACATATGGGTAATCATTAAGAGAGCTAACAGTATTCACTGTGTTCTTATTTTTATTATTCTTTTTTAAAGAGAGATTTTTGCTATAGGTTGTGTGCACTTAGCTAGAGACACAGAGAAAGTGGAAAGTTACCTCCCTGGGGGCATGGCCATGTCACAATCCCTTCTCCTCCATTCTACTCTTGGGATTTTGGGCACGTTCATGTGCCTGGTATGTTTCAAGCCAGTTTGGTCTGGGACTCAAACCGTGGTCAGCCATGTAGGAGTCTAGGGTCTTAACCATTATGCCACCTGCTAATCCCTCCCTCACTGTGTGTTATGTTTTCAAAACTTACTTCCATAAACCTGTTATTTATACCGTGAATACGTGGCATTTTTCTCTTGCTGGCTGATTATACATTCTTATTTTTTTCCTTTAATTTTGCTAGAAGGCACACATGTGCAAGACAGAGCAAGAGAGAGAGTGAGCAAGTGCGTAACCCCCAGGAGAGATGGCCATCCCACAATCCCTTCTCCGTTCTCCTCTCAGGATTTTGGGCACACAAACCTGGTGTGTTTTATGGGCTGCCAGGTTCAGGACTCAAACCGTGTAGTTGGCCCTGTGAGATCCAACTGCCTAAACTACCATACAACCAGTTGTCCCAGATGATGTTTGTTTTTCTTTTAAGTTTTGCTATAAGGAGAGGAAGAAAGTGAGAAATCACCCCCCCAGGGAGACAGCCATGCTGCAATCCCTTCTCCAGTCTCCTCTCAGGATTCTGTGCATGCATACACACTCTACATGTTTTTCAAACTCCTGGGTCCAAACTCAAACCACACATTCATACGAGATCCAGCTGCCTTAGCCACTGTCACTGGGCTGGCCCCAAATTATGTATTCGTAAATGGGCACAAGAAGCAAAGAAACGGTCTTAATAGAAAACTGCATGGAAGCAGAATCCTACTTATTGTTCACTATTTTACTCTATATACTCTTTCATACTTCTGAAATGGCTAATGTAAACTTCTGGAAGGATCAGGCTCAGTCCCTCTTCTCCTAGTTAGCCTTCTGAAAATAAAGCATGCAGAGGGCCTCAGGGTCAGGGAGCAGACACCTACTACACAGCATTTATGTCCATTATTAAAGTGTTCACATACACAATCTGTAAATGTGAGCTCCAGATGGCAGGGACTGAGGCTGTCCGGCCCAATGGTGGGCTCCTGGCAAGAGAGCACATCTGCACGCAGCCAGCACTCTTACTAGATGTTCAGTGACAGTATAAATGGTTTTGATGTCCCCCCCCATCGAGTACCCAGGGGCAGCTCCGATTTCCCCTTGGCCTTAGAGCTAGCAGCTGGGTAACACAGCATGGGGCAGGTATACTGCGAGACTTCTGCCCTCAGCAGCACATGGCAGGTTCATCTGGAAGAGGGGACGATGGAAAAGTGACATGAACTAACTCAAGCATCCTCAGCATAGCCACTCTTGCTTGTATTTCCACTACAAAGAGCAAGTATGAAGCTTATTTGATTTATACTTTACATCTCTGACAGATAATTTAACACTGAAGTGCTGACGAAGTTCTGCTTCTTAGTGTAAAATACACTGACATTTAAGTAATTATGAAATGTACTGTTTTATTTACTGATGGGCATTATTGGTTCTATAAAGCAATATCTAACTAGGGTAAGTAATTAATGAAGTTTTCTTATCTGGAGGAGAGGAACAAAATGCTTCAGTTTGGAGGGGAGGGACCCAACAGAATCATATTATACCTACTCTTGTTTAAAAAAAGAAAGCAAAAAGGGAATCAGATATATGTTAGGAGTACAATAAAACAGTTGTTACAGTCATCACCCTGTAACCAGGAAAATTCCGATTGAAAGTTTTGAGTTTTTTCAGATACACAATGATTCTTCTAAGGCCCCTAAACATTATGTCTTTAGTGAGACTCTCAGGAAAAGCTAGCCTTCCCATGCCTTGGAGCTGCAGTTGGTTACTGAGACGTGCAGCATGGCATTCAGCCACGCTAGTGTAACTGCAGGAAGGACCTGTTACTTAATCAAGATGTTTGAACATAAACGCTTCAAAACAACTGGGACAGAGTTTTTTGTGAGTTGGAGAACTGGGGAGCTAAAAATTGGAATACACATTAAGAAGAGGTATGGCTTAATTTCTGAGAAGTCCATTAGTTAAGAAAACCTTTAAAGCAATATAGTATTAGGAAAGTACTGAGTAAAATACTGACACAAAGACAAAGGAAAAGTTACCATGCTAACTTTTGTGTTTAGAAATGTATTATTATTTCCCAAGTTGGCTCCATGGCCTGGTGGCTAAGAGAGCTGAATCCCACATGGCTAACCAGTTAGAATTCTGGCCCCAAAAGCTCTGAAAGACATGCCAGCCTCTGTCCTGTATGCCCCAAATCCCGACAGATGGGCAGACAGAGGAGAAGGGATTGCAGTGTAACAATGCTCAAGTGGGGGAGCTTTCTCCTTCTTCCTGTCTCAAGAATACACCTTCTGGCAAATTAAAAAATATAAATACAGTTTCTACAGCAGTAGATCTTATAACCAGTTACCCCACAAAGGAGTTAAATATAGAATCTCAGGAGTTACCTAAGCCATAGGACTTTATATAAAAGGTTGTATGTTAAACAAAGCAACCTATGTAAATTAAAAGTAACTACCATGGCTCCATGAGGAATATTCAAAATTGTCCATGAGACGTATTCTTTAATCCTATGCTTTGACTGACTAATGCTTCCAAATCATTAACAATAATCTAAATAAATTTAGATGCTAAAAACATCAAGAAAAGTAAATTATAAAATTTCATACTCCAAATGCTTTCTGTTGCTGTACATACAGTGAAGAATATATTATAGAAAGACTCCAACCTGAGCCCAGCTTCCCTCCTCATCTTCCTGATGTTACGTGGTTAGGAATGCAAAAGAACATAACTATTAGTATTGGTGAGCTTAGAAATGCAAGCAAATTAACTTTGTAGGGAAGGTGCAGCTTAACAGTGAGGAAGTTCAAAATATCAAAGCATCATGCAAAACTCATGCAGAATCAACAATCCCAATTTCTCATGCAAGGAGTAGACACTTCCCATGCCAAGCACATCCATAAGAAGAGAAGATTGGGTTAAACAATCACATGGGGGCTGAACTGCAGTCTCTCCCAAAGGGGAGCTGAATTAAATCTATTCTAAATGGAGTGAGTCTACCAACTTTAAGTTCCTGGGGAAAAAAATCTAAAATAAAATTAAGTATAAATTATACATTGTACATTAAGCTAATAGCTATAAGACTTATTTATTCAGAACAATTAAATGCAAAATAACATCTCTGTGTCCAACAAAAGGGCACAGAGCCCCAGTGGTCTCAGGTGGAAGGCGCGCTGCGAGGAGCACAGGCTGTGGTGTGTGACTAACCGTTTGCGGCGTGGCTGCGAGCGTTTCCATCTCTTCGTGTGTTAACCAGACATTTCCTGTGGTCTAAGGTGACCCCAGTGCACCAACCACATCCAGGGCAAGGGAAGCAGTGACAAAGAGGAGAGGGGCACACGCATAAGCCACAGGCACAAGAAGGAGCCTTGGAGGCAAAGGCTCTCTTCTCCTGTTTCATTTCAGATGCCCATACAGAAAATCAGAGAACATCAGCTCAAGCTCCTCCCCTTTTATGAACAGCCACACCCTATTAACACCATGTTGTCAGTACCACCAGGAGAACAGCACAGGACTTCCAGAGCTGTGGATGTCATGCTTACCCTCAAGGCAGGTGAAATATAAAGAGAAGAAAACACATTCTGTACTTCTGAAAATTCCCCAAAATAATTCTCAAGTAATTATTGGTTGAAACTGTCTTACCCAAAGACAAACAACTAAGAACACAGCACAGAACTACTTGGGCTATTGTGAGACTATTTGCAGCAATGCTCCAAAGTGGGGAGGCCACTCTGCCTGGACAACCAAAAGCCAGGAAAAACTGAAGAGGCAGGGAGCAGGGCTCAGTGAGTCACGGAGGGCTGAGCAATGTCAATATGCTGAAAACAACAGGGTCGTGTGACCCATGGGGCCAGACGAGACAGGTGGCTGCCCTGCCGGTGCACTCCAAGCTCCTCGAGGGAGCAGATTTCATCCTTCCGCTTGACAGTGCGGAGAGTGTGCCTTCCGTGAGGTATGTTCTTCATCACTACACCTGCAAAACCCAAGTAGCACCTCCATTTCTAGAAAGGCTACTCAAATGTGAAACACCTGGGGACAGATCAGGTACTGTTTACAGAGCATTCTGCCAGGAAAAGAACTCTGCGAAATAGGTAAGAACAAGGAGGTTATTGTTCATTACCACAGTTTTTTCACTAAGGAAAAAAAAATGAAAAAAAAAAAAAAAACCTAAAAACATTTTTGGTAAACTAACTGTAAGGTCTGAATCACATTCTTGACCTGCTGCTCAGAGCAGTATGTCTACAAGATGCTTAATCTTTTAACAAGTGTTTGTTTTCTCTCCAGGCTGGACCAACAGCAGAGGATGGGAATGCAATTCATGTAAAAAAGTCAGAACTTCATAAATTAGGACTCAGGCTGCCCTTTAACTCTCAATAACCATCACTGTTTATGACAATAGTTTTTAACTTTTTCAACTAAAAGAACATTTTCAAGGTCTTTCCAGGACTTCTCACATGGAGAAAAGCTGCAGAGCACGGACAATGCTTGGTGAGCATTTGCAGATTACAAACTGCTTAAAATCCTGAGCTCCCAGCTCCTCAAATGGAAAGCACCTAAAAACCACACAAGCCAAATGGCAAAGCACTGGTTATGATGCAACCAGGAATCTCATCATCTTTATCTTTTTTTTCCTTTAGTTTCTGTTTTTAAAAAAAAGTCCCCAAACTGGGATTATGGAGAAGAGAGAATTCTTTAGGGGCTAGTTTTGATGACTGGATGACAACCATCCCCTCCTGATATGTCCTCTGTATCGACATGGATGTTTTAAGGTGACTCATAGAGCCAGTTCTCTGCAATAGACAAAAACATTTCACTCCTTAGATTCCTTCTCACACGTGAAATGATATGGATGAATTCAAGAACAGAATGTTGAGTGAAAGCCAGACCTAAGACAGTAAAGACTGTAAGATCCCACTTATCTAAAGTTCTGAACACAGCAGTCTGTGGCATCAGGGCCGGGGAAGGAACAGTGGCTCAGAGGAGCACCGGGGGCACCCAGGGGCTGGCCACATCTGTTTCCCATTGTGGGTGCTGACCATACTGGAGGTTCGGATTTTACAAAGTAATTTCACTGTTATATGCAGTATTTCACTAGTATTATATTTCGATAAAATTTAATAATACTTACACTATAGTTTGTTTAGTAAAGATCCTTAGGTATAGTGCAAATGCTAATCACTTATTTAGGTCTTAAAAATTTCTGAAGACAGGATCATCCTTTGTCTCAGCCTCTCGGCTGGGACTACAGGCATGTGCTACCACGCTCGATTCTTTTTCAGACAGGGTGTCGCTTGGCCAGACAGCTTAGAGCTTGCCATCACCCTGTCTCAGCCTCCCGGAAACGCAGGGACTACAGGCCCACGCCATTTTCCCCAGACTTTAGGTTGCAATGGTCATTGAACCCAGGCCTATGTGGTCCCAACCTGTGGAGCACAGTGTTTTAGCAGCACAGGCCACTCTGCCTAGAACTTCTCATTCAGTTTGAACCATGAAAGAGGAAATTAAATTTTAAGGTTAAGCATAAAGTGTATATGTAAATGTGATTCCTTTCTTCAAGAACCCTTTAGACCGATGTGACTGATAAATTCATAATCAAATTTGTGATGATTACTGTTCGACCAAAATAAAACTTCACATTTTATATTATGATGCCATTCTACCCAAGCTCTTATAAAGTCATTTAATAGTTTCTGCTGACCATCCAATTCCTACAAATGAAAAGTTCTTTATGAGAACCACACAAGGTGTGTTTATAAAGAATTGAAAAGCAACATGAACAGGGGCTATGCTACTTTCAGAGAGGCTTCCCTCTTCCCAAAGGATAAAGGGATTTCTCTGCACATACCGTCCGTGAGGTGGGCGGGGCGGAAGGGCTGGTCAGCGACATAATCTCCTGAATGGCCAGCCGCAGCTTCAGCCTGTGCAGGGGGTTGCTAATGCCAATCTCCCGCTGGATCTCTGTGTCAGAGAGGGCTGACATGATGGCCCCACTCTTCACGTTTGCTCGGCAAGCAGCTACGTACCAGGCTGGCATCCCCACCCAGAGCTGGGGACAGGAAGCAGGAAGGCCAGAACATTAGGTGTGGTCAATACATTTGCATAAGCATTTGACTAGGTGTTAGAAGGACATACCTCCAGCCAAACCACAACTGTTGGCCCATCCCACTGGGCAAAAGGTAAGCCTTGTCTCCGGGCTTCCTCAAGCAATTCATGCCTACAATTAAGAAGACATTCAAAATTAAATTAATCACTGTTACGTACATATATAAAACAAGCTAAAAGAGTGTTCTCTTGAATAGTTTCAAAGCACAGCAGTATTTATTCGCAGGACTGTCCTTACTTATCTACAGTTTTAATATTACCCACACTATCCATTTAATTCTGATTTTATATACTCTACACAACAGCAGAATGAGGAAATACTGACTTCTCTAATTCTCATAGAATAGCCATCTCCTTACAGAATTATAAAACTATTATCAATTTAAAAAATACCATTAGAGTCCTTATATCCAAGGTAGTACATAATCACTCCTTTTCCCACCCCCACCCCCACCCCGATTTTTGCCATAAGAGTCATGCACTTGGAGAGAGACAGAGAGTGGGAAGGTGAGAAATCACTTCCAAGTGAGGATGACCATGCTACAATCCCTTCTCCTTCATTCCTCTCTTGGGACTTTGAGTACGCACGCACACACAGCCAGTGTGATGTTCAAGCTGCAAGGTCTGTGACTTGAAATGTGGTAGGCCATGTGAAAGTCTAGCACTTTAACCACCATGCCACCTGCTGGCCCCATAGTCAACACTTATTAATACTTTTAAGAGAGATTTTTGCTAGAGGGTACGTGTGCTTGCCAGAGCGACAGAGAAAGACAGAGAGAGAGAGTGAGAAATCACCTCAGGGGTTGGGGGGTGAAGGAGATGGCCACACCACAATCCTTTCTACTTCATTCTCCTCTTGGGATTTTGGGCACATACACATACCTGGTGTGAGTTTCAAGCCTTTCAGTTCAGGACTCAAAATGCAGTTGGGCACATGAGAGTTCAACACCTTAACCACCATGCCACCTGCTGGCTGGGCCCATAATCACCACTTTTTAAATGTGTAGGAAAAATATTGACGAAAAGATCACATCTAAATCTGAACTAAGGAGTCTATCTCTGTGAGACTCTAAAAATACTTAGTATTGGGGCTGGTAGATGGCATGGTGGTCAAGGTGCTGGACTCCCACATCTGACCACAGATCGAGTCCCAGACCTGATGGCTTGATTTCTCACTTTCCCTCTCCCTCTGGTCAAGTATGTATGTATGTATGTATGTATGTATGTATATATGTATGAATGAATGAATAAATAAATAAATATTATATAATTATTTTAAAAACATATTCAGCATTTCACTAAAAAGAAAACTGCAGGGACCAGCAGTTAGCGTAATGGCTATGTTGCTGGACTCCCACATAGCTGACCGTGGTTCGAGTCCCGGATCCGGTGGCTTAAACTCATGCCGGGCGCGTGTGCGTGCATGCCCAAGATCCCGAAAGGAGAACGGAGGAGAAGGGACTGCGGTGTGGCCATCCCCCCTGGGGGGTGATTTCTCGCTTTCTGTCTCTCTGTCTCTGTCTGTCTGGCGAGCACACGCGCCTTATAGCAAAAACCTCTCCAAAAAAAGAAAAAAAGAAAATTGCAGCTTTTTTTTTTCCTTTTAGGTTTCTGCAATTGGGCATGTGCCCTCGCTAGGGAGAGACAGAGACATACAATGAGGAAAAGTGAGAAATTGTGCCCCCCTTCCCCCACAAGGAGGCATGGCCATGCTGTAACCCCTTCTCTTCCATTCTCCTCTCAGGAATTCTGGGCAAGCACACACATGTGCTTGGCTTGATCTTTAAGCCATTGGGCCTGAGACTTGATCTGCAGTGGTCCATAAAGGAACCCAGAACCTTAACCACCATGCCACCCTCTGGTGCCCAAAAAATAAGCAGATTTTTTAACCCCGATCTAATGTAACAAGAAAGTAATGGATGGTCACTTCTATTCTACAGTGCTACTTAGCTAAATAGGTATTTACAAATTAAGTCACTGGGTCATCAACTTGTGGCTTCCTCGTCAGAAAGTCTGAAATTCCAACAATTTTCTCAGCACAGAGCAGCTATCTAATGTAGAAACTGACAGGAACAAGCAAGAGTGAGTCCTAGACACACGTTCCTTTATACGATCAGAAACAACTACCACATGGCTGACTGCGGTTGGTGTCCTGGACCTGATGGCTTGCTTTCTCACTTTCTCTCTCTCACTCTCGCTCTCCCTCTGTCCCTCTCTGCTCAAATTAAAATGAATAGATAAAGTTAAATTAAATAATCTAAAAAAGAAACAATTTGTCCAAAATATCGATATAATTAAAAAAAAAAAAAAAAGAAACATTTTGAACACCCAAGTCACAATTTTAGCGTATCAGCATCTTTAAAAATGAATGTCTAGGGAACCAGCAGTTAGCGTAATGGCTATGTTGCTGGACTCCCATGTGGTCGACTGCGGTTCGAGTCCTGGACCCGGTGGCTTAAACTCACGCCGGGTGCATGTGCATGCGTACCCAAGATCCCAAGAGGAGAAAGGAGGAGAAGGGATTGCGGCATGGCCACCCCCTCTGGTGGGTGATTTCTCGCTTTCTGTCTTTCTGTCTCTCTCTGTCTGGCAATTCCATGCACCATATAGCAAAAAGCCTCTCCAAAAAAAAAAAAAAGATTAAAAAAAAAGTGTGTCTGGGACCAGCAGTTGGTATAATGGCTGTGTCGCTGAACTCCCATGTAGCTGACTGTGGTTCAAGTCCCGGACCTGGTGGCTCGGACTCATGCCAGGCGTGTGTGCGTGCATGCCCAAGATCCCAAGAGGAGAGAATGGAGGAGAAAGGATTGCCGTGTGGCCATCCCCCCTGGGGGGTGATTTCTCGCTTTCTAAGTCTCTGTCTTTGTCTTTCTGGTGAGCGCACGCACCCTATAGCAAAAACCTCTCCAGAAAGAATGGGTGTCTAACATAGTTATGTAGAGATAACACTAAAAGGGGACCAGCAGTTGGCACAATGGCTATGCCACTGGACTTCCATGTAGTCGACCGTGATTCGAATCCCAGACCCAGTGGCTTAAACTCACACTGGGCGCATGTGTGCGCATGCCCAAGATAAGATTCCGAGGGGAGAATGGAGGAAAATGGATTGTGGTGTGGCTATCCCCCTTGAGGGGTGATTTCTCGCTCTCTGTCTCTCCAGTGAGTGCACACACCCTACGGCAAAAATCTCTCTCTCAAAAAAAAAAAAGGAGATAACACTAAAAGCCTGGTGCTCCTCATCCTAATTCTCAAGTGCTTACATACAGGGCTTTTGAAAACAGACTCTTTTAAGAAGTGAGAAGCCTAGGAGAGAAGATGGTATCAGAACAGGGAGAACAGGTACATTCAGTGTGCACTCACGGATATCCTCAAGGCATTTTGAAATTCCTAGATCATTTGAAATGGTTATTTTTCTATAATTTCTGTAGAACATACAATAGAACCTTTTATTTCTAAAGGTATATATGGGTTCTTCAATAAGCTTAAAATAGTGGTAGATTTTTCTTAGGAAAGTAAAGTTCATATACAATTGAAGTTCATCTTCCTAAACAAAGTGTTTCACAAAACAAATCTGAAATAAGTGTTTCTTAAATCAATGTTAAGTTTCTAAGGGATGATCATAAATACAACTACCTAGGTATAATTATACCAGAGAACACAACGAATGTTTCAGCATCTCAAGTAAAAGATAAAATTTCCTAATTAAAATACACAAAGCTATTGATAAATTTTAAAAGAAACTATGGGAACCAGCAGATGGCCTAATGGTTATATTGCTTGACTCCCACGTACTTGACCCCAGTTTGAGTCCTGGACCTGGTGGCTTAAATCTCACGCCAGGCATGTGTGCCCAAAATCCCAAGAGGAGAATGGAGGGGAAAGGATTGCGGCATGGCCTTCCCCCCAGGGGGTGATTTCTGGCTTTCTGTCTCTCTGACAAGCACACGTGCCCTGCAGCAAAAATATTTCTCTTAAAAAAAAAAAAAAAAAAAGAGGGAACCAGAAGTTAGTATAATGGATAATGTGGTGGACTCCCACGTAGTCGACTGTGGTTCACGTCCCGGACCCGGTGGCTTAAAACTCACGCCAGGCGCATGTGCGTGTGTGCCCAAGATCCCGAGAGGAGAATGGATTGCAGTGTGACCATCCCCTCTGGGGGGTGATTTCTCGCTTTCTGTCTCTATGTCTCTGTCTGTCTGGCGAGCGCACGCGCCCTATAGCAAAAATCTCTCTCAAAAAAAAAAAAAGAAGAAGAGACCGTGACCACAGAAACTGTGATCATCTCAACGTGAGGCAGTGGGTAGGCTCGCACGATGCCAGCACTGCACGGAGTGCTGAGAGGGGAAGAAGGGTCTCACGGGGCAGGAATCATCAATGGGCTAATCTAAATCTGATTTTCTGTTCCCTTAAGACAAATTCTTCTTAAAGACAGCTGTGGTATCTTATTTAAATACTCGAGTAAGCTACAAGTAGAAGCACATATAATTCCTTGACAGACCAATCAATCCCAGTAAAAGACCTGAACTCCAACAGCATGGTGAAGTGCTAAGCCCTTGAGTGTCTGTAGCCTGGCCAAAAAGGGGACTTCACTGCTATCAGGTCAGGAGGGCTTCCTGTGTTCACCTTGAAGCATCCTGACAACAAAACCACACCACCTGCTAGCTCCGAAAGAGAACATTTTAAAAACAGCAAGCACCACCACACTTGGGACACCACACTTGTGAGGCTAGAAGCTACCTGGGAGGGAGGCCTGGGCTCAACTCTTGGGTCAACCTGAACAACCAGGCATGGTTAGGCATGCCTGTAATCCTACCTCAACGGAAGGCCAGGGGCAGGAAGATTGTGACACAGCAAGACCTTGCCAGAGATACTAAGTTTGTGTGTGTGTGTGTATGTGTGTGTGTGTGTGTGTGTGTGCGTGTGTCTGTCTTTCATGAAGGGGGAGAGGGAAACAAGGTTACTTAAAGAGTTTCCATAATCTCCAGGAATTCTACCAGTACCACGGAGACATTGTCAAAGCTGGTGAGCAGGAGTGTGGTCTGATCGATGACACTAGACCTCCACCAGTGGATTCATTACCAGATGTGCTCACCAAGCTCTTTTAGTATCTTTCATAAATCATGAAATCATCTCATCCAATCTTACCAGGTTCTTAAAAATTCTCTGTAAGTGAAAGCATTTGCCTCTGTACATTTAGCAGGTTAAATCAGAGGTTAATAAAAAGAAAATTCTTCTGAGAAATGTGTTTTGATGCCTAAATCAAGAATGCTGTACTGGCCTGGCTGCATGGCTTGGTGGCTAAGGGAGCCAGATCCCCCATGACTGATAAATAGTGTAGTTTGAATCCCAGCCCTGGCACCTTGAAAAGCACGTCAGGTGCATGTGTGTGCATGCCCCAAATCGTGACAGGGTGAAGAAATGGAAGAAAAAGAATTGTGGCATGATCATACACCACTGGGAGTTGCTTTCTCCCTTTCTATCTCTTATTCTCTGTCTGGCGAGCACATGTGTACTCTGGAAAATTAAAAAAAAAAAAAGGGCCGTAAGTGTTAAATTCACACAACATATTTTCTAGATAACTCAATTTTTTCATATTTATTAATAGAGAATTTTTCCTAAAGTCAATTTTATCTCAGGGTAACTAACGGAAATGAAACTGTCCACTGTAGACACACAAATAACAACTATACTTTGAAAATTTCCCCATTAACTGACTAGTGCATTTCAAATTTTATGTGTGTATCCGTGCAGAACATAAAGTAGTTAAGGCCCACTTCTAGACACTCACAGCTGCTGAGAGCCCAAAGCATAACCCTGAGGGCCGTATCTCTAGGTCGTGCCCCACATACAATTGGCATGAACTTATCACATGCGTGGCAAACAACTCAACGGCTGTCCTCATACATTCAAATGCTCAAACATCCCTCCCGAAGGTTACAAAAGAAAAAATTAGTTAAAAACCAGAGTAAACCATTTTGGGCGATTTTTTTCCCTCTTATATGAAATACAAACTTCTAGAGGTTAGGGAGAGGGGGTTGGAGGACAAGCTGCACTGTCACAAACCTTACTGTTTTTATTACAATTAGAAAAATGATACAAAATAGAACATATCAGCAAAATCTAAGGGATAAAATTTTCCTAGTATGGTTCCAGGAAGCAAAAAGCCTAGTTGTACTATTAGGATTCACGTTGCCAAATGGCAATTACCCAAGTTATTTTAAAATATTTCTACAGAGAAAGATAGCACTGTTCAAATCAGATCCTGCTGTTAAGTGGGTTCTATAAATTTTCATTTACGGAGACTCCAAAGGCTGCTATTGTTAGTAAAACAGAATTTCACCTGAAATCAGTGATATGCCAGTCAAGATACTAATCTTATGGCTTCTAGGAGGAGAATAAAATGAAGATTCACAACAAAAAACAACTGGCAACTCTAGAGGCCACAGACAAGCTGGCCCCTGTGGAGAGCGTCAGCATGAGCTCAGTGAGGCCCTGACCTCTAGCAGAAAGTGTCACTATGGCCTTGGTGGGGCCCTGGTCTTCACCTCCAGGAGGGAAGGTTGCCATGTGCACAGTGTGGTCCTAGGGGCCAAGGCATTTGGGCCCAGAATTCCAGAGGAATGTTGGTTTCTCGAGGCACATCAGGGTGGCCAAATGATCTTCCCCACGGACAGCTCCATCACAGACTGTTTCAAGGCTACCATCTAATCACTGGCTTTTGATCTTCTTCCCCATTCTCAAGTTCAGTTATTATTTCATAGACTATATAAACAGCATATTTTATTGCAGAAGTGGGTTTAGTTTCATTTTTCATGTCAGTTCCCTGGGATATTGCCTCAACTTAGCTGTTCATCTACTCAACTCTAGCTTTGTATATAATCAACCAACATGCCACTCGTCTGCCTCAGAGAAGACCCAGAGATGCTGCACACGCGATTCCTTTGTGCTCTTGCCTGGGCATCACAATGCCTGTGCTCCTTTGCTGAAACCCATTCCAAGTATTATTACTTATTTTCAGAGTCAAGATTTAGTTTAGAATTAAAATGTAATAAGTAGATTTAATATATTATAGAATCTAGAGTCTGTTTAAGATAAAAGCATAAAACCAAAAAATAAAAAGATGCAACATAGTCATTATGTCCAGACAGATCACCATAGGAACAGCAACTTCTGAATGCTGGCAAGCAACAGTCACTGCAGTGGCCACCGTCATGGCTTGTTTCCAACTTCTTGGCACTCTTTAAAGTGCTTACTACGTATTTTGCCATCTAACATGCACCAAAGTCATACAAGATATGTACTTCTATTACTCCTATATTACACATGCAAAAATTGAAGCGGAGATCCTGAAGTCACAAGGCTCACCTGACAAAAGCCAAGGGGCCAGAATTCACACTCCAATGCTCAGATGGCCAAGCCCAATCCCCACCTACTCTATCTCCTAGCCAGATACCTTTCCAAGATGGACTGGAATTCTCATGTGAGTTCTTTAAAACATGTATTTGGGGAGTGCACAGTAGTTGGCATGGTGGTTAAAACACTAGACTCCTACATGGCCAACCGAGGTTCGGGTACTGGACCTGGTGGCCTGCTTTCTCCCTTTCCTTTTCTCTCGCTCTCTCTCTGGTCAAACTGAAAAATAATAATGGAAAATAAAATTAAACAATTCTTTAAAAAAAATGAATTGGGATTGGCACTGTGGCCTAGTAGTTAAGGGAGCTAGATCTCACATAGTTGACTGTAATTTGAATCTTGGCCACATTGCTGGGCATGTGTAGGGACATGCCCCAAATACCAACAGGGGAGTAAGTGGAAAACAAGGGATTGCAGTATGTCCAGGGCCCACTGGGGAGGTGTTTTCTCCTCTATCTCTCTCATGAATGGAGGTACTCTCTGGCAAAAATAAATAAAAGTGCTAAGTCCTCTAGAAAGCAAGGTTTAATAAAGGCCTTAGGTTACTGTTTTAGAAAATAACACATATACATAGCTAAATATTATGATTAATCATTAAACACTGGTTAAAAATTAGACACATTGACAACTGTTCAGTGAAATGGAGAAATAATAAAAAGCTTACTTTTTTTGAAGTTTACGATTTTTTTCAGCCTGTCCTCCTAATTTGCTAAGCCCCAGGGCATCTTGAGATGAGTTATCCATCTCTGAAATACCAGCTACAAGGAATCAGAAAAGATAAAAAAAAAAAATATGAGAGTAAATCAAGACAGGGAAGTTGTGTGTTTTCATAAGTAGGTGTATGAGAGGTTGCAGGGCTGATTCTATAGGCTAAGTTTCTGATTAGGCAGCCAACACAGGAAAATGCTCCAGACAGTAAACTCGTAGCCATGAGTAGCTGTACCATTACTCAGGTCAAATGAATAGTGACTGCTGCTCTGTGGCTCAGGATGAATGCCTGCGTCGCTTCCGCTTCCTGGAGAAGGTGCAGCTGACATGGTACCAAGTGGGACTTCCCCTCCATACTCTTGAAACCAACCAACCTGGTCCTAAGGATTCCTTGCCAGTTTGCCCGGGTCGACCCTTTTCTTTCTTGCCAAACAAGCGGCCGATAGAGGACTTGATGCCTTTCTTCTTCGGGGCTTTGTGGAGCGAGTCCTGGCTACTGTTACTACTGCTAGGATTACTCACGGGACCATCCTGGGAGCCTGTGGAGCTGAGGAGAGAAAACTGACCTTTACCATGTGCCCTTACCACAACAGAACATTCCGCTTTCATGCACTAGAATGCTTTGCATTTTTAATCCTCATTCTTTAAGCTGCCTAACAAATATCTCAAGTGTCGTTCACATACATTTCCTCCAGATACAGTGCATTATGCCTAATAACGGCAGACTCGCTGTGATGTCAATGTGACAGAGGTCTGTTTCTGGGAAGTGGAGTTACTCTTTGATGTAGGGATCCTCCAGATAGAATCCTGACTCCAAACCACCTGATGCAGAGCCCCAGTGACCCGCCCAGCTCAGGGCATCTCCCAGCTAGTGAGAGCCACTCCTAGGCCAGCCATGTGATGCAGCAATAGAAAGAGCACAGACCTGGGGATCAGAAAAACTGGAGTTTCCACAATCTCCCTGAGTATCACTTTTCTCAGCAATGTTAACTGCCTGCAGGGCTGCTAGAAAGATTAATATACAGGCCCTCCACAGCGAACTGCCTAGTATAGAACAGAAACTCAGAACGGCAGTTTGAGAAAGGATAGTCTATTAGTTGCAGTTTATTGATTTCCTGCAGATAAGCACTTAGTAAATGACAAGGATAATGCAGAGCTCACAAGAAGGCATCTGAGAGGCACCCACAGAGCAGTACTAATTAGACACTGTCACCTGCATGGCAAACTCTCCATCAAGACATTTTTCAAAGTGGTCAATTTGTAGAACCTAAAGAAATAAAGTTTCTCTAAAAATTGTTGATACCATTTAGCTCCTCATTTTCAAACTAATTTTGTACAAACAAATATGCATCTTCTGTTGGATTTCGCTACAGGCCCCAGAGCAGTGGCAGGCTTTCTAGGTAGTACATTTAAATAAACTCAACTGGACTCATTCGGTGCTATGGTTTGAATAATGCTTTGTCCCCCTGAAAGGATCACATTTTGGAATTTGGTCCCCAGTTTAAAGGTGTTGGAAGATGATGACACCTTGGAGAGACAGAGCCTAGTGGGTGGTGACTGGATCATGAAGGTGCTATACTCATGAACAGATAATACTATCTCAGGAAACAGAGTTCAAGCTCTCCTGAGAAAGGCCTAGACTCCGTGAGAGTGGATGGTTATAGAAGGAAGATGGGAGGTCAAACAGTTGTGTAGTGTTAAAACACGATGGTCCTGGGGCCGGCAGGTGGTAGAGTGGTTAAAGGCGCTGGACTCCCACATGGCTGACCACAGTTTGAGTCTCAGATCTGGTGACTTGCTTTCTCACTTTCTTTCTCTCTTTCTCTCTCTCTCTCTCACTCTGTCCCTCTCTGGTTGAATTTAAATAAATAAATAGATAAATAAATAAATAAAAATGACAGCCTGCGTAGCAATCCCTATGGGATGGTTTCCGGCTCATATTCAGAGAGGCTGACCACAGTTTGAGTCTCAGATCTGGTGACTTGCTTTCTCACTTTCTTTCTCTCTTTCTCTCTCTCTCTCTCACTCTGTCCCTCTCTGGTTGAATTTAAATAAATAAATAGATAAATAAATAAATAAAAATGACAGCCTGCGTAGCAATCCCTATGGGATGGTTTCCGGCTCATATTCAGAGATCTTCTTGAGTAAACTGGGCACACATGTGCCCATGATCTAGGGTAAGCTGAAGGCTAGGGGACTGTGGTGCTGGGACCCTACTAAGAGTGCTGTCTCCTTGTCTCCTCTTGAAAGAAAAAAAAGAAACTTAAAAAAATTTAAAAAGGAAGATGGCTAGTCTCTCTGCAGATGCCTGCCACCCTCTCTGCTTATCAGTCCCACTGTGACATAACTAGCTTGATGCCAGCCCCACGCTTTTGGACTTTTCAGCCACCAGAATCATGAGCCAAATAAACCTCTATTCTTCCTAAATCACCTAATCTCAGGTATGTCTGCTAGTAACACAAAACAAATTAAGACAACTGGTAATCCTTTAAAATCATCGTTATGTTTTTTTCAAGAAAAGATCAATAGCATCTTAAAAACTGAAAACTCTCTCAAAGATCAGTATGTTTTTACACAGGGCAGCTGGCAGCTAAGCCCCTGTTCCTTACTTTCTTATGTCCCTGATGTCCTCGTGGCTGACCGTATGCAAGGCCCCTTTATGCAGCCTGTCTAGACGAAGGGACCTCGGGGAAGAAGGGGGTGAGGTTTCACATTTTATCGTTGTCTTGTCATCTCGTACCTCTTCTCTGGAGGCTGGCAACTGAGGGACAAGATAAATGCAAGGTTAATTAACAGTAAATTTTTTTTAAAAAAACACATAGGTTTCATAACCACATACTTATTTGAAAATCTAGTAGCAATGCTTTCTATAAGATAAAGTCTTGTTTGAGTCTGATGCCATTCTGAAGGACTGTCTTGACCTTGAGAAGCAGGAGCATATGGCCTCATGAACACAGGCCTGTCAAACTCCTGCTGCCTCCACATGGAGGAGCACAGGGGCCTGAGCAGGAGGCAGGGACACCCCCTGGCCTCCTCTGCACAGCCCATTGCTCTGCCCTCCCTAGAATCCAAGGCGCATCCTGAAGACAATCACCAGAGGGAGTAGCAGAGTTCTGAACAATGCCTGTAGACTACATCAACTGTAAACAGCATTAACTCTCACTGATGAAGGGCTGATGACAGCCATGTTCATCTCCTGATGTCATTCAAAAGGGACACTAATAAGGACAGAAACCTCTTGTGCAAAACTATTTGTTTGGGGGTTAAAAAAAAAAAAAAAAAACCAACAACCACACACACAGGTAATAGCTTGAACCATGACCCAAATACATGTGTACAGCTTGTATTTCTCATTGTGTGGACTGGACACTACAAGCTGAAGCACTTATGTGTAGTTCAACAACCTACATGATTTTACCCCTAGGTTTATCATTAAAAGATGATTTCTCTAAGCCAGCAGGTGACGTGGTGATTAAGGTCATGGACTCCCATATGGTCGATTGTGGTTCGAGTCCTGGATTTGGCGGCTTGAAAATCATGCTGGGCATGTGTGCATGCATGCCCAAAATCCCAAGAAGAGGCTGGAAGAGAAGAGATGGCTGTATGGTCATCCCTCTGCAAGAGTGATTTCTCACTTTCCATCTATCTGTCTTTGATTCTCTGTGGCAAGTGCACGCACCCTATGGCAGAAACCTTAAAAAAACGATGATCTCTTCCAGACTCCAAGTTCTTCTTTTTGCCTGAAACGTGAGCATGTGCAGGTGCTGAGGAAAGCACAGTGGTGCTTACTGTGAGCAGACGAACCTTTTCAGGGTCCAGGCATGTCTCACCCACAATTTGTGTTTCTGGTTTTGAAGTAAGACTGGGTTTCATGAAACGCACATAGAAGCAGTCATATAAACAATAAGACCTAACTATTGGTTTCTGCACTGTAAAAAGAATTGTGTGAAGGACCTGCTCTCACTGCAGCCTGACCAGAGCTCCCTGAAAACCAAATGGATTAGTACAAAATGGAGCTGAACTCAGTTAGGGTGTAATCTTTTTTCCCCCCCCTTCCAGTTTTTGCTACAGTGTGTCTGCATACACTCCTGGGTTAACTCTCATAAGGAACACGGATCCTGGAAGTCTCCAGGCAGCACACTTAAGTCATTAGGGAACAACGAGACCAGGGTATCATGCTAGAGTGTAAATTACAATATGATGCCTCCTTTGCTGAGAAAGTCTTGCTATCAAAAATCCCCCAGAAACAAAACAAAAGAAATACACGATATGAATCGGCTGACCTGAGGGTGTGCTTTGGGCCTTCTTGCTGGTAAGTTCCTTATCTCTGTGTACACGGGCACAGGCCTGTGGCTACCTTAAGCAGTGCTAGTCCATCATTATGCTCATGTAACAGGAGTGCAAACCAAGACACAAAATGAACAAGTAACATACCCAGCTCACAAACTGACCAGTGATAGAACTGAGATTTGCCTCCAGCAGAGCACTTCACACAGCTGCTGACAGCCATATGCTTTTGGCAGGGGGCAAGTGCCTTTACGTATCTTAAAGGCTGGTCTGTGAGTGTACCATCAGGCAGGTTTTAGATGGGGGCACAGCACATGGACCAGAGAGAAAAGGTTTAGAGGCAGAGATGTGGGGTTACCATAAAGAACAGTCACTGACCAGTTCTGTTTTTAACGCTTTGTACTTCCTCCAAGAACAGGAATTCACAGTTATCTCCAAGTAGAAGAGGCCCAGCCTCCCTCTGTAGGAATGCTGCCAGGGAGATCAGAGCATCTGGACAACGTGAGGTCAGATGGCGAAGTAGCCAACTGCTCAGGTTTGACCCTGGGAAACCTGAGCTAAAACCTGCACTGCACACTGTGTGCCCGCTCTAAGCTTCCGTCTTCACATTTGTGAAGTGGGCCGTAACAATCCCCTCTGTCTCACAGGGCTGTGTGAGAGGAGTGAACGAGATCGCAAACTGGAGAAGTGCCCGGCACAATGCCTAGCATACAGCAAGAGCCCACTAAATACTAGCTATATGGTTATTAAGACTGGTTCCCTCCAAACCTAAAACCTAGACTTTGCTTCACTTATTTCTTACTTTTAAAAGACTATGACCATTTTAAGTAAGCATGCAATGATTAGGAGGAAAAAAAAAAAAAGTAGAATAGCAAATTCTCACATTTATCCCAGTTTTCTGTGAAAACCACTGACAACCAGTTTCCCACAGGACAGTCACCCGTGAAATGCCAGGCTGGTTTAAACACCTCCAATAACATGTCGGTTATTCATCATCATACAGTGGCACAGTGTTACGCTCATGTAAAATACGACAGGTACTCTTCGATATGTTATAAAGTACGTCAAATTGACTGATTACCTTTCTACGATGCTTCCTTAAATCACTAGGCTGATCGACGCATGCAAAGAAATGAAGAGAAACCAGATTTACTGCACACTTTGAAGTTAAAAATTCAAGGAATACAGGCAAATATATTAAAATGGGAATGATAGGACAGACACAAGTAAGAAAAAATTTAGAAAAATGTAATTGGATATAGAACATTTTCTTCACCACAAAATTTAAACATTAGTTACTAAAGATTTACAGGAGAAAACACTGTGAACTATTACTCAATAAGATAAAATCCTATTTCAATGTATGAGTTATTAAAATACGGCATTTGTTATAATAAAGGGCCCTAATAATTGTATATTCTAAGCTAAAATTCTCTTTAAGTTACTTTTCTCTAATAAAAGACACATTATAATTTAAAATACCATTCAAATTGATAAGAAAGTTATTGCAGTAACTATTATAAAACTGAAAAAACCTAGTTTTGGTTAATCACCTATTGGACATTAATGTAAAATCCTTACCTAGAAGTTGATTATATAACTTCTCAAAAAATAAATTTATTATTTAAAGCAATGTACCCTGTGAAAATATATAAAAACAAAAGCTAGAATATCAGGTAGACTGTTTACAGCCTATGATTCATGTAAAATATTCAAGCAAAAAATAAGTCCATTAGAGGTATACTATAAATTGATTAAAGTTATAATCTTGAATGCAATCATCAAAATCAAAATATGTACGCTTGTGTAAAGCTTCTAGTAATTCTACACTTAGCAAATTATTTATTTAGGAAATAATTCATTTACAGATCCTATATAATAATTGATTATAGATATAATATAACTTGAGTAAAAACACTAACCATTTATATCATGCCTGTATTCCTATCTAGAATGCAGTGATACCCTAATTACAATTTATTACTACTAAGAAAAAAACACTACTAAACCCACTACTAAAATCGTCATCTAGCACGGATGCCCATATCATCTACAACACGCTGCGGTCTGGTTCCCTGAGCAGGCTGTGAAGAACCACTATTAGCGGGAGGTGGAACTGGGAGGGGAGTTGGATGAGTAAACTATAGATTGATGGAGACCAGAAGTCTGGATTAAAAATAAATCTGGAGGTGGCTAAAATAATAAAACAAACACAAAAATGATACAAGAAATCAAAACTAGTGATAGATGCACACAGGCTGACTGCCAGTATACAGAAAAGAAACACATACAACTGTTTTTACAAATTCTCTAGAAGGAAATGAGCCTGAAACCACAAATGAAACTGTCAAAAGAGTTTAAAAGATTAGCTCATGGGACCAATAGATGGCATAGTGGTTATGTCACTGGACTCCTAAATAGCTGACCATGGTTTGAGTCCCTGACCTGGTGGCTTGAAACTCACACCAAGCACATATGTGTACATGCTCAAGATCCTAGGAGGAGAACGAAGAAGGGATTGCAGTGTGGCCATTCTCCCAGGGGAAGATTTTTCACTTTCCCTCTCACTGTGTCTGTCTCTCTCTATCCAGAGAGCATGTGCACTCTAAGGCAAACACCTCTACCAAAAAAAAAAAAAAAAAAGGATTAGTTCATTAACTAACGACGACAATTATTAAAATAGTACGTCATATTCTCCAACATAGATGGGCTATGACTGAAAAGCTTCATAGTTGATTTAATTATATGCTGGCTAACAGTGTAGCTACAACTGAAAATGGATGGCAATGGGGGAAAAAAAGATGACAGAAGTGCAGTTAAAAAAGCATGTTGTAAAGTTAACCTCATGGGAAATCTAACTGCATAAGCAATGAACTTACAAAACCTAAACCAAATACACGAGGAGAAGATTAAATGTTCTTTGAAGCTGCATGTGGTCACAAACATCACGAAGTCGCTTCACTTCCAGGTTAGAAGTGACCCTGAGCTGAGTGAAGACACCCACTCACTTCCTTAGGCTGTAACATACTGAGACGTAGTAATGGCCTCGCACGCAGAACCCGTACTGCACTTTCCTTTGGACAGTGTGTGTGCTCTGGGACCTCATTTGGGCTTTTAGCATCTGGCTCCCCATACACATGTTTCTATCCACTCCATTTACTTTGTCAGCTCTGTATATGTAGAAAGCAGAAAACTTCCCTTCTGGGTGCCCACACTTACTGTCACACAAATACACAGAGGTGAGCTCACCTGGTGGTCCAACTGTTTAAACTCGTTCGTACAGCTGACTGATCAAACACTGACTAGTATTTGAAACCATGAACTTGGAATAACAAATGTCACTTGATTTTCTTCTGGGTTAAAACAAAAACAAAAACAGAAACAAAACTGACCATGCCCAAGACTTCAAACAGGAGTGCTGAGGGAGGACAACCACTTACCAGAGTCATGATCCCCAGTCTGTCCACCTCCCTGGCTGGGCTGTGAGGCATCCTTCTCGGGGTGGAACGACCACTGCCTGGAGGGGAGGAGCCAGCCAACGAGGAGGCGGGATAGGGGGGGATGGAGCTCATTGATCTAAAACGACCAAGGTTGTCCAGACTTCCACTGCCAACTCTACTTTCAATCTCCTCTGCCCGCTGCTCTGTGTTTTCCTTTTCTTCTTGTATCAACCTAAAACAGAAACAAAAGTTGTTGGTTGCCCTGTCTTAACCACCCAACAGATGAATGCGTTTGGATTAAAAAAAAAAAACATCTGCTTACACTCTCTATTATGGTTACTAAATTCCAATAACAAGTTGCTCAATTAACACTTCTGTAAAAACATTCTATTATACTTTTTATATTTAATATACTGAATTTTAAAACAACATAAAATAAATCTTTCATCAAGTCTTGTTAAGATGGTTCTGGTATCATCTGTTTTTTAAACATTTACTTCTTGGGGCTAGCAGATGCATAATGGTTACATTGCTGGACTCCTTATGGCCAACTGCAGTTCGAGTCCTGGACCCAGTAGCTTGAAAATCATGTCAGGCATGTGTGCATGTATGCCCAAGATCCCAAAAAGAGAATGGAGAAGGGATTACAGTGTGGTTACCCACCGCCCTTGGTGGGAGGGGGTTGGTGTGTGTGACTTCTCTGTCTGTCTGTCTGTCTCTCTCTCTCTCTCTCTCCAGCAAGCACATGCACCATAAGGCAAAAAAAAAAAATCTCTTAAAAAAAAAAAAAAAGTTTACGTCTTTCATGAGACAGAGATAAGCACCTTAACAGGGTCTGGTGCCACGATCCTTCCCCAGCTTTCCCCAAGAGCCACAGCCCTGGGAACATGCCTGACATTTACAAATAGAACTAGGAACCACACGTGCATCTTCCATATGGACCAATAATCACTTGAGCAGCACATTACTGCTGCACACCTGAGCCACCCCCTCCATGTCTGACTTTTCTTATTCACATCAAAGTTTTCAAAGGGGCTAAGTGGCAACTTTTTTTACGACTGCAACTAGAATTTCCTTACTGAGCAATGAGACATTTACATTTTACAACCTCCCTGATTCTTGAAATATTAATGAGATTAAAAAGGTTCAAACACCCACTCTTTGAGCATTCGTGGGTAATGGATGAATTTTCATAGGCTACATTAATTTGATATAACGAAAGGCAAGAATGAGTGAGAATATGCAAACCTGAAGCCCACCACTTTTCTGTGCAGGGTTGCTGTGTGACAAGGACCTGAAAATGTGACACCCCAAAGGGTACACTACAAGCAGCCTCTCCAAGGCTAAGGATGCACATTGGCAGGTAATGCCAAGCGGACACTCGGGCTGGAAGGAGTGATAAGCAGCTCTCCCTCTCACTTCCCAACACACGTTCCGCCTTCCGTGGGCCCTGGACCATGTGATCTGACTCTTCCCTAAGTGTGCTGCACCATTCTCTGCACTGCCTGTGGCAGGAACCCAGAGGGCACTCCTGGCTACCTTCTCTTTCTGCCTCTCCAGAGTCTTCACCCACCCCTGCGTCGGGGCGGCAGGCCCCAGCCCTTCTCTTCAGCTCTCAGGGCAGTGGTGTGAACCAAGCTGACTCTGGTGGATACAAAGTCCCTCAGCACCCTCCAGCTGTGTCATCAGCCTTTAGGCAGAGGGATTTAATACCTCTCGCCTCCTACGATACTCTACACAAAAGTACTAGGACCAAGGCTCAGGGCAGAGGACTCTGGCTGCTAACTTCACAATCAAAAGCAATCTCAAAACTTAAAATTCTTGATGGAATCTAATTAAGTTCCATTATTATGGAGCAAATGTACAGTATTTTTTTCTAGACTTTCCCAGGCAGAACGAGGTTTCTTAGCGACAGTCCCATTTCCCGGAGTGCCGAGCACAGCAATGCATACCTGATCTCCTTGTTGATGGCATCCAGCTGCTCCTGGAGCATCATGGCTAAGGTCTGGGCGTCGGCCTGGCCACTGGGTGACAAAAGATCCACCGAGCTCAGGAGGGTGTCCCTGTCCTCTTCGCCATCAGACACGTCGACGTCGCTCTCGAACGCTTGTGCTACATTCGCCAGCACACTAGCCTGTTGGGCGCGTTCCCAGTCCTGTTCATTAAGAGTCTGTACCTAGAAACAGGAAAACGGAGTCTTAGCGAACTGACCATAACATCAGTTAGAAGAACTTGTTAGAAATTGATCAGAAATTTTAAAACAGTTAAATGGAAGCCCAAATGACTATGGAAAAATGAGTCATGCTTTTAAAGTGCTGACATCCGTCAGCATGCAATATTCAAGAAATGGGAGCGGATAATCCACTCCTTAGGGTACCTTGTCATATTGACATCTTAATGAGCGTGTGGGGCATTTCTAACATGTGATTCACAAAAAGGAGATGACAAAGTCAGAGACAAAAACTAAAAATTTTAAAAATGCATGTGGGCTGGCCCCTGGTCTAGTATGTAGTTAAGGAAGATGGAGCCCAAGTGACTAACCGCAGTTCAAACCTTGGTCCCAGAAGTTTGAAAAACATTCTAGCGCATATATGTGCACGCCCAAAATCCCAACAGGATGGAGAAATGGGGAAGGGATGGTGCCAAGAACACACCTCATTGGAGGGTGCTTTCTCCTATTCTTTCTCTCTAGTCTCTGGTGAGTGCACATACCCTCTCACAATCAAAAAAAGAAGTCAGCCATGCTAATAGGAAGTGAAAAGTGATCCATTTAAACCCACATCAGTTGAGCTCATCTCTGCTGCCATAACATTTCACAAGTGTTATCAAGTAACATAGTAATCTGAGTTTCCAAATCCTCCCTGTTCTGAGGCTGGTACCAATAAGCACCGAAAAATGCAAGGGTAGCAAGACAAAGGGAAGAGGAGCAGCCCGGCCCAGCTTGTAACAGCAAGCTGGCAGGCTAAGTTTCTAGGGAAGCAGTTTGTGTAGGAAACGCAAACAGTCATTATTTGCAAACAGAACACAGAAAAAGCACGCCTGGCGGGGACGTGATCCCCCAATGACCGTCTCACATGCACCCTGGCTCGTCAAACCTCTGACAGCTTCTCTCCACTCTCACTCTCACTCTCACTCTCAGCTGACAGTCTTACTTCCCACTTCACGGACACAAATCAGGCCCCACACTGTGTCCTCCTATCCGAGGCCAGCCCATCTGCACACTGGGCCAACTGAAACCTCCTGCTGTTATTTCTCCCTCTTTCTGGACAACCAGTTTTCCACTGCTCATCTCCATCAGCACATGAACATTTTCTCCCATAAAAATAACAAAAGAGAAACCACAAAATCTTCCCCCCACCAGCCTGGGTCTCCGTGCACCTGCCACTCCTCCTCTCTGCTGCTATCTGAACGACACTTCTCCTGCGAGAGTCCCTATTCTGTCTCCACTTCCTTTTCTCCCATTTTCTTGAATTTGCTGAGGGCCAACTCTGAGCACCTCCTGTCCAACAGAACCATACTGGGTCGTCGGAAAAGTCATGACACATTTTTGCATAGAAAAACATGTTATGACTTTTGCAATGACTCAATACTTTATGGAAATTCCTACCAATCCCACATCTAAATCCACTAGCTGCCCTCAGTCTCATCTGCCCACCTTCTGCCCTGGGGCCCTTACTCACTTGGCCCCAGGGTCAACCCTTACTACCCCTTCCTGCTTTAACCCCACCGTGCTGGACACTCTCCAGCTCCCACCGGCTCCTTCTCAACCTTCCTAACACATCATTCTGGAGTGCCCCCTGGCTCCATCCTTGGGCCTGTGGTGCACTCATCTTGTCTTGGACCCTTAAATGCCATCTCTATGTGCATGACCCCACATTTAACCTCGCTCTAAACCTCCCTGGGGCCCACCAGACAGCTACCCTTGGATATCTGAGCACAGGCAAGGCTCACCTCGTCTTCCCCCACACCTGCAGTCCTCCTCATCTCAGGAAACGGACCGCCCTTTCAGCGGCTCAGGCCTAAACCCTTGGAGTCACACTTGTGCCTCTTCTCTTTCCTTCACACTCTGTATCCAATCCCTCAGCAAATCTTGTTGGCATTACCTAAGAATATACCATAAAGGCTACTTCTCTTTCCCCACATCTTCCTCAACTCGTGCTACAACTCAAGTCCTTCTGGGCTCTCTTCCCTGCTGATTACCATCTGACACACAGAGGTGGCTTCACAGGTCTCCAACCTCTCTAACATCTCCCCCTTTAAGAGGTGGTGGGCCACTCTCACCCTGCTCCCTCGAGTGTGGGCAGAACTCGGCACTTCCTCAGCATAAACTGAAAGAATAAATCAAAGTGGAGGTGTGCAATTCCCAGACTAGGACTTGCTCAAAGGCCCTGGGGCTTTTTCCTGCTTGCTCTCAGAATGCGAGCTCTGGGGGAAGCAGTGTCATATTGTGAGGACCTTCAAGTAGCACTAAGGACAGGTACAAAGGGCCAGGAACTAAGGCCTCCCCTCCACCCCAAGCCACGTGAGTATGCAGAGGAGTACAGCCTCCAGTTCATCGAGCCTCCTGAGGACTGCAACCTCAGGAGGCCCTGAGCCAGAATCCTCCTGCGAGGCTGCTCCTGAATTCACAGACACCGTGAAGTATAAAATGTTCTTTGTTTTAAAGCACTAAGCTTGGTAGGAACTTGTTACACAGCAACAGATAACTGATACACACACCATGCTTTACTTTCTTTACTGCTCGTCTTTTCTCACTAAAATGTGTGCTCTGGGGTGTAGGAATTTTGTCTGTTTTTTAAGTACCAATGTAAACCTAGGTCTGTGAGGGTGCTTGGCCCAAACCAGCTATTCAATGACTATGGGTGCTCAATGATACAGAAGTATATCAAAACACGGGACCAGCAGGTGGTGTCGTAGTTAAAGTGCTGGACACTCCCACATGGCTGACCATGGTTCGAGTACTGGACCTGGTGGTTTGCTTTCTCCCTTTCTCTCTCTGTATCTCTGTGTGTGTCTATCTCTGGTCAAATTAAAATTAATTATTGAATAAATAAAATTAAGTAACAGATTATTTTTTTAAAAAGAAAAAAGCATATCAAAACACATGCTGTTGTACAGAGCAAAGAATAAAGGTGTCCAAACTTTTAAATGTGGGTTTTCACTAAATGATGAATCATTCATTAATTTAGCCACAGTGGGCGCACTGCTGAGATACATACTAAGACACTATACTCTGCAGGCTGGGACCACACAGGAGGCGCTGGTTCCACTCCTGGTCCAACCTAAAGACTGGGGATGACGGCATGTGCCTGTGACCCTAGCACCTTTGGAGTACGTGCAGGAGGACCTGGAGCTGGAGGAGGACCACACGGTGAGACCCCCCACCTGAAGAAGAGCCAGGTGTAGAAAGAAAAGGGAAAGATAAAGCATGTCCTCAAAGCCAACTCTTAGCTAGAAAAAGGAAAATGGGATGAGGGAAAGAAAGTGACCTAGCAACACTTCTACTCCAAAGCCGTCTCCAAAATGTAGGGTAGGTAGGCGATTCTTATGTCAGCAGAGGTATTTCACAGGAAGGCCTTGCCTTGGAAGGCTCATCTCGCAGAGCTGCCAGACGGCCTTTCTGGGGGCGCCGCAACACTGAGCTGGTGCTGTAGGAATCTGTGTGACCGTCTGCCACAGGGAACCTGAAATCTGGGACACTGCCCAAGTGGGGTCGGCTGAAACATGAAAAAAAAAAAAAAAAAGATGGTCATTATTAGAAGAAAAAATAAACTGACTTTCTGACTTTTAGTCAAGCCAGAACCTATCAAGTTGGAAATCAAGTACATTGTGCCTTAAACAGCATGGGGGTTAGGGTACCAACCCCTTTGTGAAGTCAAAAAATCCACAAATAACTTTTGAGTTACCAAAAATTAAACTACTAACAGACTACTGCTGATCAGAGGCCTTACCAGTAACACAAACAGTCCACTAACACATATTCTGGATGTTCCGTAGGTATTATATACTCTATTATTACAATAAAGTAGGCTAGAGGAAAGAAAATGTTACTAAGAAATTCATTTTTAAAATATATTTACAACATTCACTGGAGGAAAAAATAAAAGCAAAACCCATTTTAAGTGGATCCCTACAGTCCAAATCTATCCTGTTCCAGGGTCCACTGTAACTCACACAGGAGAAGGTCTCCTTTTTTCTTGCTCAACACTTTCACCCACTCTGGACCAAGGTAGACTTTAGCACTACCACTGGAAGCTTCAGCATCCAGAAAACCAATGCAGACTGCTACAGCTACAGAGAACAGAGTACAGCCAGCGCTCTGGGGTCTGACAGACCTGTGACCCATCTTGGATTCCTCTCTAGGCCAAGATGTTCAGCCACTGAGTTCTGCTCTACTTTGTCCGTGGCTGACGAAGAAGCATAACTATACATCATTTCCAGCCTTCAATGCTCTTACTTCCCATTTGGGCTAAGACATGTGGTATGAGTCAATTAGCCACAAATGCCTCCCATCTGCAGTACTACCTAGAGCACAGCTAACAGGCACCTGAGGTCTCAGCTGCAGAAGCCCCCCTGTGCCACAGCTGGGAGCTCCTACACACTGGATCTGGCAGCTTCCATCAGTGTCTGTCAATCAAAAGCACAGTTCAGTTATAGTAATAGTCAACCCCCGACTGAATATGTGTTCAGTTATAGTAACAGTCAACCCCCGACTGAATAAATCCCCTGGGGAGAGGTGGGTGGGGCCCTGCGAGATGGAGGGGCTGATGTAATCTGATCACAGTTAAGAAGGAGACCCCTCCTAGCCCCCCTGATCTACAGAAAGGGCCAGTGGGACATGCCATCATATCTACCCTGGGGTTGCACTCCTCAGTATGTTTTACAGAAATGTCTCTGAGTATTATCTATTTATTATGTATTCGTAAAATATCAACATCTAGGGGCCAGCAGGTGGCATGGTGGTTAAGGGGCTGGATTTCCACATGGCCAACCACAGTTTAAGTCCAGACCTGGCAGCTTGCTTTCTCACTTTCCCCCTCTCTCTGTCTCCTCCTCTGGTGAGAATACATGCACTATAGTAAATTAAAAATAATAATTATAATAATAAATTGAATTTTTAAAAAGAGAAAAAAAGGCATCAGTCTAGAACTTCCCTTTGACGATGACTATCTTTCTACTTCCCTTATTCCCTCATTCCTATGGAAACCACTTGTTCCTAGTCGATATGACTTCCAACTTAATTGCTTTGGGGCCGTGGCACATTTTAGGATTGAACAGAAGCTGTGCATGTGCAGAACTGTGCATCCAATTTTGGATAGTTCCCGAAACCTCTGCAGTCTACCAGGTCTCTGAACCTTGATGGCTCCTCTAGGCAGGCTTTCCTCCAACTCAGCCACCACCCTGTGTGTAGTCTTTTCCATATGCCCATAAGAATATGGAAGCCCACCCATCACCTTTCTTTTCTACTCCTCAGTCACAGAGATCTTTTCTTGCTGGCAAAGATCACAAAATCGTGGTGCCTGATTTTGCTGTCAAGTCACACAAAACAAGCCAAGTCAGCCCCTGCTGCCACCTTCTCTCCTCCCTACTCAAGGCCTCCATGCTCCCTTAAAATGGAGCATGACACTGTGACATCTTCCCCCTTCTCTACGACTGCTCCTGCTACAAAATCTCTACAAATGCCTCCTTGAAACAAACCTCAAACCTTCTTATCCAGCCTCTTTTGACTAAAGTTCTCTGACTTGGTGCATCCCACCAGCTTCCCCTAGGCCCCTGGAGCAAAGGGTCCACATGTCACATTTCACCTTTAAGGTATCAGTTATTGTCCCGGTGCAATGGTTAAGTGTTGTGCACTGGGAGCTGGAACCCACACTGCCAGCTGTGCTTCAAGTCCTGGCCCCGGCGGCGTGAAAAGCATGGTAGGCATGTGTAGGTGTGCCCAAAATCTTGACAGAAGAGAAACGGAGGAGAAGGGATTACAGCATGAGCACACCCCACTGGGGGGCTTTCTCCCTCTCCCTGGCTAGCTCATGCTCCCTACAGCAATACAAAAAAAGGGCAAATGCGGGCAAGCCTCCATTTTACAATTTCCCCCTTAACCTAACTGCCCCTGCAAGTTCTGACATCTCTCTCCTTCCCTTCCGTGGAACCTTATCATTCTAAAGAGGAATGCACACTGCACCTGCCTCCTCCTCACCTACTTCTTCCCACAATACTTTGCAAACACACGTCTTACTTCCTCGAGCTACAGCTCTGCTTTTACCATAATGGCCATGCCAACCATCACCACAGAAGACAGTCATTACCAATCACTGGCTCTTCTCTGTCTTTGTCTTCCTCAGCATTTCCTCTCTGTAAGGATAATACTCTTCAGCACCATTGGCACTCCACAGGTTTTACATATAGTAAAAACGTCTGGCTCTGATTCTCTGTGTTTACACTGATTTCTACTCTTGTTTTCCAGAAATTTGGGAAGGATAGGCCATAAGAGACCCCAGACATTCAGGGTACCCTAAACTTTCAATTCAGATATGTTTTTATAGACTCTGAGCTTCCTCCCAAGTCATATTTCAAGAAGGAGCCTGTTTCCTGTGGGCTAATGTCAGCAGCTAACCATGTCAGTAACTTTTGCTAAAGGTAAACTCACAAGTGATGACCATTTTCTTCAACGAACACAAAAATTTAATACCTTAACGAGTACAACTGCCTTTATAACAATGAGTAGAAAAATAAGGACTCTGGGCAGTTTAGAAGCTGGGCAGTCTACTGGATTCATTCATGAGCCCGGTGCTTCCCCTACATTAGCCATTCAAAGTCACATCTCAATAGATGTAAAAATGACTACACATCATGAACTGTCACTGTCTACACAAGTACTGACAAGTACTGAAAACGCCAAGTACTGTACTAAATCCAGGAACATCCAAGCATCTCTCAGCTCTAGCTGTGTGAGTCTAGCTGCTCCCTTCACAATCCTATTCTATGGATGTGGCTTCCGCCCTCATGAAGACTGTTCCTTCATCTCTTATCTTGGGCTTTGTCCTCCAGTACCTACATCATCAGTGTCAGACTCCACCTTCCAAACCCTCCTGTGTTTCTGAGTTTTGCCAACGATGTGTCTCCTGACCAGTCTTGGACCTTTGGAATGATACTGCCCTCTTCCCTCTGGCCTGCTTCTAGGCCACAGGCTCCTTGAGGTCAGACTATAAGCTGTATCTGGTGATTCCACCCACATGGCTAAGAAGGGGCTCCCATATACACACAACAGGCACTAAGGATACACTTATGCATTGTTGCTATCATACCCATGATGAAGTGAAGCACCTCGTAGTCTCATTTGGTCTAGTTCAGCCCTCAATGCTTCAATGTTCAGGACAAGCTGATCCTACAAAATAGCAAACCACATGCATGACAGCTTTTAGTTTTTAAAACTATGCTCAGATGTTGGACATAAATGAAACCGGTTAAATTAGTATTAATAGCTATAAATACTGAACATTTTAATTCTGGGGAAGTCAAGAGCCCTATAGTAAACATAAATATGCAAACCACCAAATAAACTTTGGAAACCTTCATAAATAAAAAGCTCAGTGTTAGTAACAGAAAAGTTTTTAAGAGGGTAAGCTCCAAGACATCAATTTTGTGGAGAGATGCAGAGCTATTCTGGAGTACAAGGGGAACGACATTCACATTCTACTACACATACTTCTCTGCACTGCTTGTGACTGTCTTCTATCAAGCAGACAGCCATTTCTGTGTTATCTGTACACTGACCCCACTGCCAGATGGGGCTGTCCGTACAGTGGCTACCGGCTACATATGGCTACGGGGCCCCACGGGCTGGTCCAAACTGAGATATGTCATGACTACACAATACACAGACGTTCTTAAAGACTTAATAAGGATAGGGAATGCAAAGTAGTTCGTTTTTTCTTGTTTTATTTAATACATTATGAAATGATAACATATTGGATATAGTGGGTTAAATAAAATTCATTTTACTTATTTTTTTTTAAATGTGGCCACAAGAAAAAAGGAAACTGCATATATAGCTCATATATTTCTGTTGGACAGCAGTGTTCCTCATAAAAGGCTAATGCCATTATTTTATGTTCAAATAAACTCAGAACTCTGAACTATGCATGTTATCAAGACTCAAAATGCATATACAATACAAAGGCGTTCAATGGACAAATCTAGGCGTGCTATAAATCTTATGAGAGTAGATTAAGAGCCATAAAGAAAGTTAATCTTAACATCCTCTAAACATCTATATAATTACAATGAGCTCATCTTCAATACAGGTCTTAAGATTTTTACGTGAATTAGGAAAGAGCTAAGTACCTTATCATGTTGCGTTTCCTCTAACTGCTTTTTTGCACTTTCAACTTCTCGTAATAGAGAATTCTGAAAAAGACAGATAGTCCTTTAGTATTTATCCTTTAAAATGTTCCAGGTAATACAGTATGGTTACATTTGTTGAAAGATAAAGCTTCACACACAAAAAAGAATGTATCGGATGAAGGTACTGGCAAGCAGTGTTCCAGTGCCACAGAGTCAGAGCTGACTGAGGGACTCTAACAAGTCCTGATAATTGCTCTTTCTATAAAATGTACTCCTTCAGTGACTACATTTTCTAAAGGCAGGTATGTTAAGTTCACGGTACAAGTTTCTTTTAATCAATTAAACTGGTATATACTAACTTTAAAGTTTTCTAATTCATTGGTCACTTGGGAAACCTGAAAGGAAATTCAAATGTGTATTTAAGATCTGAGATCAAAATATTCCCACTTTAAGGTTGATCCTCTGATCAAGGAGCTTCAATGACACAGATTCTAGGATATACCCTTACCCTGGTTAAAGCTAACAGCTTTCAATGATGAACATTAAGAGTCCGGGCATAGACTTTCTTCCAAATCAAATAAACAGAACATGGGGGGTTAGATTACAGTAATGTTTAGTTTAAGGTGATCAAATCTATTTCACCATATTCCTAAAGTATTATATTTACAAATAGTGCAGAAATTATTTCCAATGCAAGAGCAGTAGAAGGGCAAGGGTTGGGGGAAAAATTTTTTAACAAACTAGGGCCTGTCTGCCAAATCCAGCCCACTGTAAATAAAGTTTTATTGGAACAGAGTCACCCATTCGTTTATGTACTTACTGTCAGTGACTGCATCTGTGCTTATTATTGGTAAGCACAAAATTATTTTACTTAATTACTCACATTACTAAAAGCCTAAAATATTTACTACTTGGCCCTTTGTAGAAACAATTCTTCTACTCTTGTCCTAGAAAATGATAAACAATTTTCCATACATGTAAGTGGGGCAAAGATAGAGCAGTCTGTACTTTTTCCACCTAAAGGGTAATTCCTATTTTCTATGAGGGTGGTAAACCACTGTTGTGGGTTATTGCTCAGGAGCAGATGACCAATCTTTTGGTAAAGGGTGGGAACCCCCCAGGGACACCTGTGCTGTCTAGCCTACCTTATCTTCTAGAGCAGCCATTCTCTCTTTGAGATGAAGCTGAAGCCTCTCGTTAGATTCTGAAAGAAGCTTGTCGACTGTGTCTGATAAACGTTTATTATGTTCTTCATTCATTTTCTCTCTCTGCCTTGCCTAAAATAGGAGAAACAAGGACTTGTAAACTTTAAGTAAACATTCAACCCTTACCTTAAAAAAACAAGGGCCAATGGTGGGAGTCGACCCATGCCACCACTCCCCCGGCTGTTGTTCCCACTGTCGTCTTCTCTTTAAGATTTTTAACTGATTTTATTCATGCTCTCAAGTGTGTGCACACGCACATAAAAAAGTGTGAGTAAACAGAGAAAGGCAGATCCTCTTGAGAGGATTTTGTTATATGGTAATTCTTTCCCAGCCCTCTAGTTCACTAGGATCCTGGGGTCTACAGGCATGTGTGTGCCTAGCATCCTCTAGGCTGACCAAGCAATCAAACTTGGAGTTGACCGTGTGGCCTCAGCACTGTAGTTCAGCATGCTACTGCCTGTGCTGTGCCAGCAAGGCTGAGCCCCACAGTCATATTTCATGGGCTTTTACACAAAGGTGAGAACCACCTCACAGAAGCAGGGAAACGTAGGAATAAGAATAGAAGAGCTGTTAAACAAAAGGTCCCATTGCTTCTGTTACAGTGATCAAAGGACCTTAGGAATAGCACTAGGCTTTAACTGACAGATGGGCTCAGGGACTGACCTATATGCAGAAATCAGCAAATATACTTAATTTGCTATAGGGCACAGGTGCTCACCAAAGATAGAGAGAGGGAAAGTGAGAAAGCACCCTGTTACTCCCCAACCCTGGAAGGATGACAATGCCACAATCTCTTTTTTTTTTTTTTTGGAGAGGTTTTTGCTATCGGGCGCGTGCGCTCGTCAGACAGACAGAGAGAGACAGAGAGACAGAAAGCGAGAAATCGCCCCCCAGGGGGGATGGTCACACCACAATCCCTTCTCCTCCATTCGCCTCTCGGGATCTTGGGCACGCACGCACACGTGCCTGGCGTGAGTTTTAAGCCACCGGGTCTGGGACGCGAACCGCAGTCGACTACGTGGGAGTCCAGCGACATAGCCATTACGCTAACTGCTGGTCCCCAACAATGCCACAATCTCTATTCCTCTATTCTCCTCTTGGGATTTTGGATATGCACTCACGTGCACTTGGCAGGTTGAATTTCAATCTGCCAGGTTTAGGACTTGAACCAAACAGTTGACCATGGGCAATCCAGCTGCCTTAACCACCACACTCCTGACTGGCCAAAAAAACCAGCAGATTTTTTTCTAAAGAATTATTTATTTATTTAATTCCATTTGTTTCTATTATTTTTTTAATTTGACCAGAGAGAGAAAGAGAAAGGGAAAGTGAGAAAGCAAGCTGCCAGGTCTGGGACTCGAACCGCAGTTGGCCATGTGGGACTTCAGTGCCTTTAACCATGCCATCTGCCAGGCCCCAAACCAGCAGATTTTTAAAGGTGATTAACTAATCTATGCATTGGTAGGAGAACTTTCTCTGTGTAAACAGATGTTTGAGTAGAGATGTAGGGGTGAAAAAGGAATTATTTTTTTAGAGGTTTTCCTTAGGACATGTGCACTCAACAGAGAGACAGAGACAGTGAGAGGGAAAGTGAGAAATCACTCCTCAGAGGATATGACTGCCACATTCCCTTCTCCTCCCAGGATCGTGGGCATGTACATGCACCTGGCATGAGTTTTAAGTCACAGGTGTCGGGATTAAACCACAATAGCCATGTGGGAGTCCAGTGATACAGCCACTTCACTGTCTGCTGGTCTGGTGAAAAATGAATTCAATTTAGGGGCCAGCAGGTGGCATGGTGGATAAGGGCGCTGGACTCCCACATGGCCGACCATGGTTCGAGTCTTGGACCTGGTGGCCTGCTTTCTCACTTTCTCTCTCTCTCTGTCTTTCTGGTCAAATTAAAAAATAAAATGAATGAATAAATAAAATTAAATAAATAATTCTTTAAAAAAATGAATTCAATTTACAAAGGAAAATTTAAGGAAGTTTGTTCTGAATAAATCTGTAGAGATAGGGAGACTTTCCCATATTTTTGTCTATACTTCTACATTGCTTAAATTTTTCTTATTGGAAATGTATTCACAAACTGCAAATAATTACCTTAAGTAATTTTAAAATGTGATAACACAGTTGACAAGTCTATATTCTATAAAGCCCAAATCAAATTTGTGGTTTAAAACTTTGTTTCCACCCAGGTCCCGGACGAACACCAGTGGTAGATGGAAGGGGGCAGAAGTGTTAGCAGGCAGCACACATGGCGCTGTACCTGTACACCCTCACTACCTGGCTCAGGCGGCTCTTCCTAGGCCGAGGGCAGGGCTACGATGGACACTCGTACCATGGTGCTCAGACAGGAAGACCCAGTCCACAAGGCCTTGCCACAAGACTCTGCCATTAGAATAACCCTGGGCATTCAGTTTTTTCTTTGGTAAAACGTAGGCAGCAGCAGCTCCCTTTTCTCATAGGCTATCATAAAGATGAAATATAAAGCACTCAGAATATGCCTAACAGAGCAACTCTCATTATCTAAAAGAGGTCTAACACATCATGTAATGGACAGAATTTCTGATATGTCTTCTTTAGAAAACTAGTGTGGGGATAGCAGTGGCATGGTGGTTGACGTAGCTGGATCCCACATGGCCAATTGTGTGGTTCGAGTCCTGTAATTCCAGAATTGAAAAATATGCCAGGGACATGTGCATGCCTGCCTAAAATACTGAGAGAAGCATGGAGAAGAAGGAATTACTGCATGGCCATCCTCCCTGGAGGGTGCTTCCTCACTTTCACTCTCTGTCTCTCTCTGGTGAGCACATGCATCCTACTGCAAAAAATTTAAAAGAGGGACAAGCAGATGGTGTAATGGTCACATCACTGGACTCCCATATAGTTGACTGCAGTTTGATTCCTGGACCTGGCGGTTCATAACTCACACAAGCTGCATGTGTGTGTGTGTGCCCAAGGTCCCAAGAATATAGGAGAACAGAAGAGACAAGACTGTGGTGTACATCCCCCCTTGGGAGAGATTCCTCATTTTTTGTCTCTCTGTCTCTGTTTCTCTGGTGAGCACACATGCCCTATAGCAAAAAATCTTCTAACAAAACAAAATAAAACAAAATTCAGTGTTGCTAAACACTAAAAAAACCAAACAAAGTTTATTTATATAATTGCCAGAACATACATGTATTTGCCAGAGAGAAAGTGCACCCCTGCATGGGGCATAATCAGGCCACAACCATTTTCCTTCATTCTTCTATCCTTCAGGATTTTGAAAACACACGCACTTGATGTTTTTCATGCTGCCAGGGCTGGGATCCAAATGTGCAGAGATGATGTGAGTGTATGTATGTGTGTGATAGGATACTTAACTGTGTGGTGGGATGTGCGTTGGGGTAAGTGTGTGCACATGGGCATATGTGTGGTGGGGTATCTGTGTGGTGAGGTGTGCGCGATGGAATATGTGTATGTGTAAGTATAGTGTGTCTGTGCACTGGGGTGAGTGCATGCATGTGTGTGGTGAACTGTCTGTGCATGCTGGTGTGAACATGTGTGTGCTGACATATATATGTGGCTATATGCATGTGGTGGGGTGTTTGTGTGTGTGTGCACATACACACGTCCATGGTGGGAGGCAGGAGTTGACTAACACGTAATCTCTTAGTGGAAGGCAGAATCATTTCTTGGAAACTCTTACAGTATATGGTCAACAGTACAGGTTCGGGGGACAGGTGGCATGATGGTTAAGGGCACTAGATTCTCACAGGGCCAACTGCAGTTCAAGTCCCGGACCTGATGACTTCTTTTCCCACTTTCCTTCTCTCTCTCTCTCTCTCTTCTCCCCACTCTGTCTCTCTCTGGTCAAATTTAAATAAATAAACATATAAATAAATGAAATTAAATAATTCTTTAAAAACAAAACAAAACAAAACAAAACAAAACAAAAAAAGAGTACAGGTTCCTGGTGAAAACAACATCTAATGGCCTTAAATCTCATGTCATGAAGTTCACTGACATGGGAGTGGCAAGAGTTTACAGTTAGATGTTTCATGCTTCCTCCCTCCACCAACTTGCTAAAGAGAAATCCACCCCAAACACAGGCCTAGAGCCAGCTGGAACTGGAGCTGCCTATTTCTTGGACATTCCACACTGACATTTGCATGACTCTTCCAGGGAAAACTCCCAGAATTCAAATGACATGACCTTCCTTACCACATTCTCTTTATGCTCGTTTTTTCTCTTAAAGAATTATTAATTTAATTTAATTTTATCAGAGAAAGAACGGGAAAGTGAGAAAGGCAGTCGCCAGGTTCAGGACTCGAACCATGGTCGGCCATGTGGGAGTCCAGTGCCTCAACCCCCACACCACCTTCCAGTGCCTCTTCATGCTCTTTTTTATCACAATGGTGATAATCATGGTGTCCCCCTGTGTTCAGAAATACCCATTCTAGCACATACTATTATGTCTGGAAGATTAATTTCATATTGTGGGGTGGAGTTCAGGCCTGTGGCCTCAATTTGTGACCTTAGTGCAGCCTTCTAAGCAAGTAATGTAGGATGGCCTTACTCACATTTTGGGGAGCCTTAGGCCAGCGCCACCAGTTTGTTTTAGTGTAAACAATAAGGTCCCACTTATACCTACTGCAGTTTCCCTGCCAAGTGACTTCCTGGACATGGAGATCCCATCTATGCCTGCAGTATGGCCAACAGGGAGTTTCTTTGACGGGTGCGTGTGCATGCCCAAAATCCCAAGAGAAGAATAGAGAAGGGACTGCAGGATGGCCATCCTCCCTTAGGAGATGATTTCTTATCTTCCCTGTCTCTCTCTCCATGAACACCGATGCCATGGCAAAAATCTCAAACAAAATTAAAAACAAAAACAAAAACAAAAAAAACTACCAGTGTGGGGGCTGCCAGGTAATGTAGTGGTTAGGGGTGCTGGACTCCCAGATGCCCGACCATGGTTCGGGTCCCAGACCTGGCAGCTTGCTTTCTCACTTTCTGGCTCTGTCCCTCTCTGGTCATACTAAAAATAAATAAATTAATTAATAAATTAATTAATAAATAAAGTTAAATAAAATAATTAAAAAACAAAACAAAAAACCTCTACCAGCGTGTAGGATACCTGTATCAGCAGATAACTCACAGATAAGGTCATAAAATAAATCAAATGACAAGAAGAGGGAGCTATGTCTAGGCACAGGGAGGGAGGCTGCAGTGGAAAAGGCCCTCTCCTTCCCACCTATGCCACACCCTGGAACATCCAGCCTGGCACCCAGAACTTCTGGCCCAATACGTACCCGCTGCAGTTCTTGGTTCTTCTCCTCCAACTGCGCTTCCATCTGTCGTAACCTTTCTTCAATGTTGCCGTGTCTCTCTTCAGCCTGCCGGCAAAAACTACGTAAGCCGCCCTCATACGTACACTCTACCGACGACGTGCTGTATACTACTGCAGTAGCCACAAGCATAACATGCTCTGCGTGAACCGTCTCCGACCACATACGTGGAAAGCACTTACTCGTGTCTGTCAGCACATCCCATGTGGCCCATGTGTTAACCGTGAAGCAACTAAGCCTGTCGTATCGGTGATTCTGCAACACTGCCGGTGCTGGGATGCCTGTGCTTTTCCCACCCCACACCCAATCTGGGTGGCTTGGTGGTTTTCCCATCCTCAGATTGCTCTGGTTAGTCAGCAGGGAAAGCAGAAAGCGGCAAGCACAAGTAAGGAGCAAGGTACAAGGTCTACCTTCCTAAGCTTGGAAGTAAGTTCCAACAGTTTAGCTTCCTTAGCGGCAGAGCTCCCAGAAGACAAAGGGTCAGACTACAAAGCCGACAAGGGACAAGAAGATGACGGGGAGAAAAGAAACCAAGACTTTAAAAGCAGATCACGGAGGAGAGGAAAGGTTCTGTTAACAGCTGTTAGCAACAAACCTGCACGAAGGAAAGGTCTGTGAGCACGGGGCGCCAAGGACCGGCCTGACGCTACCCTTCAGCAGCAGCCTGCTGTGCCTCTGTGCAGTTCCTTCTACCACACCCTCCCAGCCACTAGCTATGCTATGCTTGAGCCAGGCCCTTCCTCACCAGCTCCCAAAGCCTGGCCTCTGCTCCATCTACTGCCAACGAAGCCTTGCCTACACCCCAGGGTTGGGTGGTTTGACAGAACACCCAGAGGTTCCTGTACAAACTGCCCAATCTGAGTGCCTACTACATCATTTGGAAACTGCCATCATTTGGAGAACTCTGAGAGCAGGGGCTGTATCTGCACATGCTTGTGATCGTTGAACAAAATGGATAAATGTTAACAACTTGCTTACTACAAATTTATTTTGATTGTTTTTAAAAAAGTAGCATTTTGCAATTTCTGAGAAAAACTCCTTCCTTGACACAAAGCTTCCATCCTTATGCTTTAAGTTGGAGACTAGCACAACTCTAAGTAGCAGCAATTAGATCGCTCAAACTGTGGACAAAGAGCACATCTGACAAAACTGGAGAGAGATTTAGGGATAACAAAAAGGCAGGATAATGCCTGACATTCAAAAAGCATTCCAATCTCAGACAAAATAGTACGAGAACCACGCTGGAGCTACTCCGTGGATTTCGGTTCACTGGCTGAGCAAAGATTAGCACGGCACATGAACAGAGTGCAATCGCAATCAGAGTCCTGGCCTCTGATCCAGAACTCAGCCCACAGTACCACCTTAGACAGCGCCGCCACCCTCTGGGCCAGCTCTGCTTCCACCTCGGGGAGTGTCTCTGCTTTCCGCAAGGTCTGCTGCAGCTTCTGCTCCGCCAACTCCAAGCGCTCTTGTAACTGGCGGTTTTTATCCTCAGTCTAGGAAATGAAGGCAAAGTGTCAAAATGACCACAAATCTCCTAGTCATCTCCCCTTTAAGTAGATTGAAACAAGCAGAAATGCAGACATGGACTAAGTTCATTATGGCAGGAGCCCAGCTGCTCTGGCAGTTGCTACAGGGAAAGGCTTTTCTTGCTGCAAGGAGTACACACCCATCTTCTTAGGCTTGACTTCAATATGCAAAACACTCTTGTCAGAGTATTTGCTTTTTTAAATACCTTCCAGAAAGTGTTAAATACATAAATAAATGAAGGTTCCTATAAACTGAAGAAAACTAGTTTTTCGTGGAAGTGTGTTCATTCTTATTCACTAGAAGGGGTTCAGAACCGAGCCAGCAGGTGGTGTGGTGGTTAAAGGCCGAATTCCTAAGTGGTAAACCCAACCACATTTCAAGTCTCAGACCAGGCGACTTGAAAAACCACACCTGGCGTATGCATGTGAGTGAGTGTGTGTGTGTGTGTGTGTGTGTGTGTGTGTATGTCCAAAATGCCAAGAAAAGAATGGAGAAGGGACTGTGGCATAGCCATCTCCCCAGAGGTGTGATTTCTCACTCTCTCTCTCGTTTTTCTCTGGCAAGTGTACAAGCCCTATAGCAAAAATAAACAAAGTGGATAGGTATTAACTTTTGTTAAAACGTAACCACACCTCTATTTGAAAGTACTGCTACTGACTGCAGACTGTCATGAACACGTAAGGTCATGTACATGTAGATTATTCTTCTTGAAAACCCTTACTCGGGGTGCTGGCATCCCACGTGGCTGACCACAGCTCGCATCCTGGACCTGGTGGCTTGCCTGCTCACTTTCTCTCCCTCTCTGTCCCAGTCTGGTTGGTTTGTTTGTTTGTTTGTATATATAAATGTATGTATGTATAAATGAATATATATAAGGGCATGTACATTTGCTGGAGAGAGACAGAGAGAAAGAAAGTGAGAAATAACTGCCCAGGGAGATGCTATGTCACAACCCCTTCTCCTCCATTCTCCCGCTGGGATTTTGGGCATGCACACACACCTACCCAGTGTGACTTTCAATCTCCAGGTTGGGACTCCAACCATGGTCACCCAGGAGTCCAGTGCCTTAACCACCATGCCACCTGCAGGGCCCTAAAAAAGATTTAAATACAAAAATCTAAAAATTGGGGGACTGCAGGTGGTGTAGTGTTTAAAGGCGTTGGACTTCCATATGGCCAACCACAGTTCGAGTCCTGGGCCTGGTGGCTTGCTTTCTAACTTTCTTTCTCTCTCTCTTTCTCACTTAACTCTGTCCCTCTCTGATCAAATTAAAATAAATAAAGTTAAATAAAACAATTCTTTAAAAACAAATCTAAAAATCAGGAACAGTAGATGGTGTAATGGTTATGTCTTTGGACTCCCATGTGGCCAACTGCAGTTCAAGTCTCAGACCCGGTGACTTGAAACTCACATGTGCGTGCTTGTCCAAAATCCTAAGAGGAGAATGGAGAAGGGACTGCAGTGTGGTCATCTCCCCCTGGGGGAGGGTGATTTCTCACTTTCTCTCTCCATCTCTCCAGTGAGCACATGTTCCCTATAGCAAAAAAATCCTTCTCTAAAAAATAAAAATCTACATATTATCTTTAATTTCAGATTCCTGAACATTAACACTTGCATATATACAAATTTCCTCATTTTTCTGTGGTATGTACACACATCATGCTTTAAAGCCCTCAGAAAAATGTATCATACAGTACATACTTCTATGAAATAAGCCATTCAAAGTCATCAATATTGTGAACATTTTACATTAAAAGATGTTACATTATTGTGAACATCTTATGTTACATTCCACAATATTGCATTTTTTCCTTTTTCTTTTTAGTTTACTATAGGCATGTGTACTTGGGGGAGTAGGGAGAGAGAAATCGCCCCCTCAGGAGATGACTACATTGCAATCTCTTCATTTTTCTCTCAGGATTTGAGGCACACATGCACCAGGGTGTTTTTCAAACTGTGGGGTCCAGGACTAGAACAGCATGGTCAGTTATGTGGGATTCAGCTGCCTTCACCACCACCACCAGCTGGCCCCACACAGTACCACTTTTTATGCCTACTTAATGTGGTTTTTTTTTTTAGAGAGAGATTTTTGCTATAGGGCATGTGCGCTCACTGGAGAGTCAGAGAGACAGAAACCAGGAAATCACCCCCCAGGGGGATGGCCACGCCACGGTCACTTCTCCATTCTCCTCTCGGGATTTGGGGCACGCACACACGCATGCTTGGCCTAAGTTTAGGTCACTGGCTCTGGGACTTGAACTATAGCTGACTACATGGGAGTCCAGCGATATAACCAGTATGCCATCTGATGGTCCCATGTTTTATTTTTGATTAAACATTACATTCTGTAAAATTTCAAGACTTTTGATTATTTAAGAATGGTTAACTTTTGGGGCCAGTAGGTGGTGTGGTGGATAAGGGCACTGGATTCCCATATGGCCGACCATGGTTCAAGTCCCAGACCTGGTGGCTTGCTTTCTTGCTTTCCCTTTCTCTCTCTCTCTCTCTCTGGTCAAATAAAAAAAAAACTAACAATAACAAATGGAATTAAATAAATAAATAAATCTTTAGAAAAAGAGAGAATGGTTAACTTTTAGGATCAGTAGTTGGCGTAATGCCTATGTCACTGGACTCCTATGTAGTCGTCCACGGTTCGAGTCCCAGACCAGGTGGCTTAAACTCACACCAGGCATATGTGCGTGTGTGCCCAAGATACCAAGAGGAAAATGGAGGAGAAGGGATTGTGATGTGGCCATACCCCCTAGGGGATGATTTCTTGCTTTCTGTCTCTCTGTCTTTCTCTGTCTTTCTGGTGAGTGCACGTGCCCTAAAAAAATGTATAAAAAAAAAAGAATGGTTAACTTTTTTCTTTTTCCTTTTGTCAGATAACTATAGAGACAGAGAGAGGGTGAAGGCATCACCACAGCAAGGCGTGATCACACTGCAATTCCTTCTCCTCTATTTCTATATCCTGTTGGGATTTGGGACATGTGTACACACACACACTCAGCATGTTTTTCAAGCTGCAGGGCCAGGATCTGAACCACAAATGGTCATGTGGGATCCAGCTCTCTTAACCATTAGGCTACAGGATCAGCCCAGATGGTTAACTCTATATTATCTAAGATTTTAGAGAAACAGGAATAAGTATGATTTACCAAACAAGAGAAGATATAAATTCTTCCTACAGACTTCATTTATAAATTGCTCACTTACTGTATTTTCCCCGTATAACAACAAGTAACCGACGATTTTGAAGTTCTTTACCATTTACTCTTTCTTCAGAGAAAATGTTAAAAAGCGAGCCAGCTGGTAGGGTGGTGGTTAAGGTGGCAGGATCCCACATAGTTGACTTCGTGGTTTCAGTCCTGTACGTGTATGTACCCAAAATCTCGAGAGGAGAATAGAGAAGGGACTGCAGCATTGCCATCCCCCAAGGGGTGATTTCTCAGTTTACACTCTCTCTCTCTCTCTCTCTCTCTCTCTCTGGCAAGTGCATGCACCCTATTGCAAAAACTTACAAAAAGAAAAGTTAACAGAAGAAAGAATCAAGGCATGTAACCCTATGAAGTGGTTAAATTAAATAATAAATAATCAAAACTTGGGGGCTGGTTCTGTGGCATGTGCATTAAAGCAGCTGGGTCCCAAGTGGCCAGCTGTGTGGTTTGGGTCCCAGAACTGGTGGCCTGAGAAACATACCAAGCGCATGTGCACGCATACCTAAAATCTCAAGAGGAGGCAACATGATCATTCCCCACGGAGGATGCTTTCTCCTCTTCCTCAAGCTCTCTTGGGCGAGTACATGTACTCCCTGATGCAAATAAATAATAATCAAAACTTCTATGTTGAAGCAATCCACACTTCTTGAACATGATATTCTAAGATAACATTTGGACTTGATTTCTAATACGAAAGTCGCAGGAAAAAAGTCTTCAACTTCATTAATAATTAACTGAAGTCAAAGACAGGCCCAGAAAGACCATTAGTTACCTGTCGATGCATGGAATCTTTATTAGCAATTTCATTTTCAAGTTTATCATTGAGGTCATGCACAGATGTGGCTTCACGCTGTGCTGCGAGGTAGCGTTTTTCAAGAGTAGTGATTCTCTCCTCCATGTCTTCTTTTTGGGCCATGGCCTAAATTAGGTTTTTCAGAGAAGAAAAAAATTAGTGTCTTTAAAATTAAATTGGCAGAGATGCTAATTTTCTTAAATGTGAATCAAAATATACCAATCTTAAAGATCATAAAGTTTACCTATAGCATTAACAAAAACTCATCTACCTCAAAACTATGTCTGGTCAGTTAACCCTGCTTATTCCTTTTTTTTTACATAATAGCATAGAAAAAATATGTATAATAAAACACCCCGATATTGTGGGAATTCAAGGTGGTGAATTCTATGCATATACAGCCCATGTCTGCCTTGCACTACAAGGGACATACATCCACCAAAAGGTGGATAAAATCACATATATCTGAGCCAGCCCATAGCCTTGTGATTGAGGCAGCTGGATCCCACATGGTCAACCTGTAGTTTGAATCCTAGACCCTGTGGCTTGAGAAACATGCCAGGTGCACGTGTATGTGTGTCCCAAATTCCAGAAGGAGGGCAAAATGGGGAAGAAGGGATAGCTACATGATCATGCCCTCTGGGGGGGTGCTTTCTCAGTCTCTCCCCAGCAAGGGCACACCCTTTCTTCAAATTAAAAACAAAACAAAACATATAATTATAAAATTCAAGCATATTCCCAAGTGGAGACAAACATAAAAGTTTAATTTAATTGGACACAATCCTCTAAAGTCTATAGCAATATTAATACTACACAGTGTCAAACACAGACACCAGAACCAGGAATTTCTGCTTATGTAATACCCGTCTTCCACCCCTGAAATTTACTGTTTTTAGGTCCTTCTAAAAGGACCTAAGTCCTAAGTTTTCTAAATGACTAATATTATTTTATATTATTTTTGTATTCTAAGAGGTATTTTTGCTATAGGGCACTCACCAGCAAGAAAGACAGAGACAAAGAGACTGAAAATGAGAAATCACCCCATGGGGGGATGGCTATGCCACAATCCCTTCTCTTCCATTCTCCTCTCTGGACTTTGGGCGTGCACACAGATGTGCCCGGCGTTTTGAGTTTTAAGCAACCAGGCCCAGGACTCAAACCATGGTCGACTACGTGGGAGTCCAGCGACATAACCATTACACCATCTGCTGGTCTCCCCCAGCAAAGTCTTAATATGAAAAGTAACTGAGAGTACGAGTTGCGTCTGCAGGAGTCATAGCAGGACAAGCATTTAAGAAGTTTCTTCCACTCTCTGACCAACTATTGAAAGGAGTGCTGCCAAAACAGTAACCAAAGGAGGCATTATGCTTCCAGAAAAGTCTCAAGGAAAAGTACTGCAAGCAACAGTAGTAGCTGTTGGATCTGACACTAAAGGGAAGGGTGGAGAGATTCAAACCAGCTAGCGTGAAAACTGGAGATAAAGCTCTTCTCCCAGAACATGGAGGCACCAAAGTAGTTTTAGAGGACAAGGATTACTTCTTATTTAGAGATGGTGACAATCTTGGAAAGCATGTAGACTGAACTAATCACTACTGAAATGGCATCACATGAAGCTGCCCATTCCACTGAAGTCGTGAAATCTTCCATCATGTAAATAATTTCCATGTTTCTCTTTTATACTAAACCAATAATATCTAATATAATTAAATGTATGTGTGTACACACACACACACACACACACACACACACATTTCAAAAGTAACAGGTCTTGGGCCAACAGGTGACATGGAGGTTAAGATGCTAGATGCTAGCTAGACACCACATGGCTGAATCTGTGGTTTGAGGCTTGGCTTGAAAATCATGCCGGGCGTGAGCATGACCAAAATCAGGAGGAGTTGTGGTGTGACCATCCCCTTTGGGGGAGTGATGTCTTACTTCCCTTCTCTCTCTGTCTCTGGAGAATAGTTGTATCCTACATAGGAACTAATTAAAAAGAAAAAGAGAGAGAGAGAGGTCTTCAAAGAAAAATTTCAACTTTCTCTGCATATTGAACTCTACCACATGAATAATCTTGTGTTATAGTCAAAGAAGAATAAAACCTAGTAGGTTATATAATAAATGCAAGTATTTTTCTTCATTCAAATTATTTAAGCTTATTTACTCTATGTATTAGAGATGGACATTATCTCCAACAGGGTCCCCACACTGAGCTCCACCCCGGCTTTAGACCGTGGGCACACACATGCCTGGCGCACTCAGGCAAGTCTCTGGATACAAACCGGCAACATTTCCCATGTGGATCTGCCGCAACAGAGCAGCTCGTTTTACTTCGGTGCCATGTCTAGTCCTTTTGTTCTAAAGTTTTACATAAAATCATGCACATTGAAAACCCTCCGAACCGAAAGTACATCTGTTCTACATGTGTGCTAAACAATCAGGATCTCACAGGGCTTAAAAGTCAGAGTGAAAAGTACCAGGAGGAGGCACCAGAGAAGCACCCAGGCCTCATTTGTTTTTATAATAATGATGAAATATTTACAAAGGCAGAAATCTTAGTCAGAAGTAAGTATATTTCCACATATTCTTATATCATGATCTTGATGACCCTAGAAGGAGCAAATTCTGTACTCTTACTGTTGTCTGACCACCTGGTATTTGATGCCATCTATGCCACGAAGGAGCAGCTATCAGAAAACTATGATAGAAAGCCACGTAGCAGTCTCTCACACACTCAAGAGCCTGTACACATTGCTTTAAGGGAACCAGCAGCTCAATCGATATCAACATTTACTTGTTTGGTGTGCACAAAAGGATATCTGGGGGCCGGACGGTGGCACAGCACAGTGAAAACACACCACTGTGAGGCCGACCCGCATGGGAAAGTTCCTGGACCTTCCCTCAACACACTGTGCATAAGTTTGCCCATGATCTGGGGCAAGTTAGGCCTATGAGTGGTGTGGACTGTGGCATCAGGACTCTTTTTGGAGTGCTATTTCTGCCCATCTTTCTGTCTCTTTTGCTCATGGAAGAAATAAATAAGCTTTAAAATAAATCAATATGAATATAATGAAGAACAAATTACAATAGTCTAGATGTCGATGAAGAACCACAAATGAGGGCATTAAACCAGCTGGCGGCAGCAGGGGTGGGAAGGGTGGCAGCAAGCCCACTCTACCTCTGCTTGTGATAAGTCAGTGGGACTAGTTTTCCTCTCCTTTTTTAAAAAAATTATTATTTTATTTAGTTTTATTTAATATTGTTTTTGTTTATTAGTTTGTTTTTAATTTGGCCAGAGAGAGAGAGAGAGACAGAGAGAGGGGAAAAGTGAGAAAAAAAGCTGCCAGGCCTGAAACTTGAACTGCTGTCGGCCATGTGGGAGTCCAACCTTAACCACCAGGCAACCTGTTGGCCCCAGTTTTCCTCTTCCTTTAAAGACAGCTGGAAAAGGACATTTTAAGTCACAAAAAATGGAAAGGTAGCCTATGGTCTCACAGCACTGTTTTGTTTCACTGTCATGTATACAACAATCTGAAGGCTAGAAGTAACTGTGAGAGTAAGACACAGAAGCAGCAATAAAAAGTCAACATTGCTAGCATTCGACTTAATGACAATTTCTATTATCACTCACTTCACGGACATCTCGTTGCAATTTTGTGTTCATTTCTTCAGATTTGATGAGATCCTTCCTGGCGGTGTCGAGGTCTTCTTCCAGCTCTGCTACATGACTGGACAAGGCAGCCAGGCGCTCCTTCATCTGGCTCTGCTCTCTGGACTGCTTATCTATGATTTCTTGGAGCTCAACTACCTTGGCAAGGTCTTCCTCATGGCTTAAAGAACCATCAGAAGATCTCTGGTGGGGGGGAGGGGGAAATCTTTAAATAGCCTTGTTGGGTAAGCTATGAAATAAAATGCTTCCAGGAAATGGGTACAAATCACACTTGTTTCACGCAGTCTGCTGGATTACACAACTTTCATTACCACTCAAGCATTAAGCCAGGGCTATAGCAACAGTTTTCCAAATAGCCCTACACATGTGCTATGGACAAACGGAATCGGAAACAGAATGACGGGGAAGCCTGCGGACTTGCCTTTCCATTCGTGCTGGGTGTATTTTCTTGTTCGTGGTTTATGTCAAGTACTCCATCCGTTAGTGTTTTTTTCTGGTTATTCTGTTCTTTAAGAATCATTAGCTAAAACCAAAAAATGAAACATGAGAGTAAAATATTTTATGTAAGAGAAATAAATAAAGATAGCAAAACTCCTTTTAGAAAATACAACTATAAACTGCTAAACATGGCATAAAATGAAAGCATATAGCAACTGTATCCATTGGAATATAACCATTTTATTAAAAAGTGAATTTATTATCTACTGAACAAATATTTAATACATAACAAACAATAAAAGTCTACTTTATTAATCCTTAAAATGATCTGGATTAGCTGATCTTCAATTAGAAAGACAAATAACATCTGATATCTGGTACTACTGCCTCATAGTTTGCTTTTTCCTTCTAATTAAGGGATTGAAAATAAAATGCTTCCCAATTCAAATGACACGACAATGTCTTATGCTTACCTCCTTGTGCGTGGCACCTAATTCTTCTTCTAACAAACTACACCTTTCAAGTGCTACTCGTAATCGCTCTCTCACCTGAAAACAAAAGAGGTTATGTTTGTGTGTATATATTTATTTTATTTGTACTGTATAGTTAACCTAATATTAGTGTAATATAGCATAATAGAATATCTTCAATGCCTTTCACTGATTACTGTCAAGAAAAATGTCCTTGTTAATAACTTCAAATTTTAAATTAGAGAAAATCTTTCCCATAAATAAGTTACATTACCCAATGCTTAACAGTAAATCAATATACAGATTTAATCAATTTTAAGACATTTATGCCGACTAGTATTTTTTTAGCCATATAGACCTCTGTCTTCTCAGAGACAAATGCATTTATAAGCATTGGAGAAGCTATAAAAATTAAAGTTACACACATGCAGGAAGCCTACCTAATGTCTAGCATGTGTACAAATCAAGGACGGCCATGCAGCTTACGATACCTTTTCATCCAAAGCTTTGTGGTGTTCAAATAATGACTTCAGTGCTTTCAGCACTTCAACCTCACTGGACACGCCCGCTGGAGACTGTGCCTGTCTCTTCACCACTGTCATCCTAAGAGATCTCTCATGCCTGGATACAAGGCACTCCAAGTGCTCCAACAGCAGCTGAAAGAAAAGGCCCAAGGAAAGACACATTTAAAGTGCACTTTTCATGTTACATCTAAATTTGGGGCAAACAACTCTTTTACAATCTCGTGCTAAAACAAGCTTGAATCTCTTCAATTCAATAGGAAGTTAAAGAAATTCCCCTTGGGTCAGCGCCATGGCACAGTACAGAGCAGAGGAAGCCTGGTGAGGTCTGACTTCACACAGGGCATGTGCAGCATGTGCCCTGACCCTGACGGGGTGAAGAATCGCAGAAAAATGAACGGTGTCAAGACAATGCCCCGTTGCCAGAGAGGACTGCTTTCTCTATCGGGCCTGTTTCAGGCACACACACTCTCCAGCATCTAAAAATGGGTAGGGGGATTCCCCTCAAATGTATTAAAATATCATCAATTCTCATCACAAATATCTATCAATCTATAATAATGCTGAACTGATAAATCATAGTCTGCTCACTAGAAAAAGTACAAAATATGTTTAAAACCAAACAGATCATGGCCCAGCCACAGTGGCACAAGTGGTAGCTGCTCTTGTGAGGCTGGGGTGACCATGGAGCTCTGAGCCAATCTAGATAGGGTGGTATAAAGTCTGTGACCTGGCCTAACTGGGGGAAGAGGATCACAAGAGTGAGACCCTGTAGAAAATAAAACCCTCCTATTCTCCTCCCTCCCTCCACCTCTGTAGTCTGTCTCATTAAAATCAGAAACAAGGGGCTGGCAGGTGGCATGGTGGTTAAGGGTGCTGGATTCCCACATGCCGACTGTGATTCGAGTCCTGGACTTGGTGGCTTTCTCTCTATCTTTCTCTCTCTCTCTCTGTCCCTTTCTGGTCAAATTAAATAAATAAGTAAAGTTCAATAAAACAATTCTTAAAAAAAAATAAAACAGAAACAAAAATAGAGTGGATCTTTTTGTTCAAAGACCACATCTCTGACCACAGAACTGACTGTAGAGGCAAATGGTAAAACAAGGAGATCCACCTACTAACCCTGGTGTTGTTTCTTTCTGCTTTTAGCTCAGCAATTTCTTCTTCCCTTTCCAGGAGTTGTTCTCTGCATACATTGAGCTCTTTCGTAAGTGCTGCAAATTCCTAGAAAATAGTGAAATAAATTCATTTAATTAATAATTTAAAAAAAGAAAGTCTCAGGCCAGCCCACGGTGTGGTGCTTAAGGCAGCTGGATCCCACATGGTGAACTATAGGTTTGAGTCCTGGACCCGACAGCTTGAAAAATACACCAGGTATATGTGCATGGGTACCCAAAATCCCGAAAGGAGAGATGGAGAATGGATTGCAAAGTGACTATTCCCCATTGGAGGATGCTTTTTCATTTTCTGTCTTCCTTCTCTTTCTCTGTCCAGCGCACATGCCCAAGAGAGGGTAAAAGAGAGAGACCCTCAAGAGAAAGACTTTCAGATACAGCAGGTGGCATGGTGGCTGAGGCACTGGACTCCCACACGGCCAACCACAGTGTAACTCCCAGACCTGACGGCTTGCTTTCTCACTTTCCCTCTCTCTCAGGTCAAATTAAAAAATAATAATGATAATAATAATAAAATAAATAATTTTGTTTTTAAAAAAGAAAGGCTTCCATCAAGCCTCCATACTGTTTTTTCTTTTTTAGGAGAGATTTTGCTATAGGGTGCATGCACTCACCAGAGAGAGACAGAAAGTGAAAAATCACCCCCCGGGGGGTACGGCCATGCCACAATTCCTCCTCCTCTATTCTCCTCTCGGGATTTTGGGCACATGAGCTTTAAGCCACCAGGTCCAGAAGTCAAACCCCGGTTGACTATGTGGGAATCCCAGTGATGTAACCATTACGCCATCTGCTGGTCCCGAGCCTCTATACTCTTTACATCAAGGCAACCCCATCATAAGATATATGAGTCTGAGGAACAGGCAACAGCAAATGGCATGAGGGTTACGGCGATAGGCTCTCATGTCATCGACTAAAGTTCAAGTCCTAGAACCAGCAACTTAAACTCACACCAGGCGCATGTGCATGCATGCCCAAGATCTCAAGTGGAGAACGGAGGAGAAGGGATTGCAGTGTGGCCATCTTTCCTGGGGGGTGATTTCTTGCTTTCTGTCTCTCTGTCTCTCCAGTGAGCGTACATGCCCTATAGCAAAAAAAAAAAAAAAAAATCTCTTTAAAAATAAGGAGGGGGGAACTAGTGACATGGTGCTTAAGGTACTGGACATTTCCACATAGCCAATCATGGTTCAAGTCCCATACCTGGTGACTTGCTTTCTCACTCTCCCTCTCCATCTATCTCTCTGTATCTCTCTCTGGTCAAAATAAAATAAATAAATAAATAAATAAATAAAATAAATTTTTAAAAGAGTGTGAGGAAGGGCAAGGATCTTTGCTCCTCCAGATACAGAAGATTCAACCAACTAGCTGAAGATCAGACTGAAGACCAGCAGGTTACGTAAAGGGCCCAGAACTCTGACTCTGACCACTTGACTCCCCTCCATCCCAGGCCCTGGCGTGCACACAGTGGGGGTGAAAGGGAATCCAAGCCCACCTACTCAATATCTAGCTAAGTCTAAAATGTTTTACTGAACAGGAGGATCCTGACAAAAAAATGGATAAAGACATTTTTAAGTGACCTAGAATGGCTGGGGGAGAGTAAATGAAAAAAGGCCCGAAGGCCACAACCAGTCTCAGCCTCCTTTTCTATCTAAGCTAATAGATAGCTTCTACAGATAGCTTCTCCTCTGGGGAAGACACTTGGGGAATGCCCTGGGAGAAGGCTGATGGTACCCCAAGTCCAACCTCTTAGCCTGAAGAATTTGCTCATACGAGAAGACTTTTCACAACACTAATCAGCCTCTGTAGCCAAGCAGAAGAGTTTCTAGTTGACATCAGTAAGCAGCAGGCTGAGCCACCCCTCGCCTCCACGGGGGGTTAGTTCTCCAGCTGTAATACCGGGTGTCCTTACGTGGATGCCACACTTAAGTGAGTCAAAATGAACTCACATTCTACTGGCAGTTTTTCAAAGGACCAAACACCTCTTAAATAAGTATGATTCTCTGGCAACGCTTTTCAATTTTAGTGCTTTCTTTTAAAGGATAAAAGAGGATAAGGTTCACCTGACAAATATTCAGACATTCAAAATACTGAAAGTGCCAGGGATGAAGGGCAGCAGCACTGATAGAGTCAACGAGGACGAGAGTGGAATTAAAAATAGTTTCTTGAATGCTGTTATTTTACGGGAAGCAAATTGGAGGGGAATGCCG